CCGTGGGAGATGAGTGTCCAGTCCCTCTGTGTCGGATTGAGCGTTTTAACGAGGATAGAGGCTTGGGATAGCACTGGCGGCAGATCAGTGAAGAGGAAATCTTCTCGCCAGAAAGGATTTATGGTGCGATACTTGACAGCAGTCTTGCCACGAATTTCTCCGTCTAGGAGCACCTCTGTGTAGTAGTCGCTGACCTTTGAGGTTGGAGCAGGCTGGCCATGTGATCTCGACGCCTTTCGGCTTCGGGGGGTGTCCTCCTCTTTGGAGCGAAATAGCTTCGCCTCTACAATTTTCAAGTTTAAGAATCGTTCGATTCGGAACATGTCTTTGGTCAAAGGTGGTTCGGTGGCCTCGGCGTCTGGTGTTTTATTGGGATCCTCTCCCTGCGACACAGGACCATAGAGCTCTGGGATTGTGAATGCGCGGAGAAGCACAAACCACACCTCAAAGAGAACACGGCTTTCAAGTGCGAGGTATATAGGCCGCACGTTTGAATCGGGTACTGGATGTGCCGTATATTGAGGATAGATGGCAATGCAAAATTCATCATCCAGCACCGAGGAGTTCAACTGCTGAATAGCGCAGCGTGATAATTGAGACAACTGCACACATGCCAGGAGAGCCACGTCGGACTCTGTGTAGAGCTTGAAAAAGCCATTTTCTTGTAGTGTGCAGCTCACCTTTTGCCACGAGGAAGAAAGAGCCCTTGACTGTCTGTATGTTGACACGCGGCGTCCGGACACCGGCATGGCACCGGAAGCAGACGGCTTGTCCCATAGAAGCATCTTGCCAACCTTGATAATAGTTGCATCCTTTTGTACTGTGCTTTCTGAGTTGCGTCGACGCTCTGGGATCCGCCGGTCTCCAATCACAACCTCTTGAGGTTTTGTCATCTTGTTCTGAACACCCTTAGGTCGAATTGGCTGCCAACACAGTAGAGCGGCAAGCCAGGAATCGAATGTTTCGTTCACGTGAGGTCGTAGTTGTATCCCAAGCCCAGAGGTAAATGTGTGAACGCTCAAATAGGTGGCTTGAAGGTCAGAGTCCCACAATGTCCGAACTCGACAACCACGTAGATCGGGGATCAATGTTTTGGCCAATGCTGGCTCTCCCTTGGCTTGATAAATGAGACTCCCGGTAGCGACGTTGATAGCGCAGTATCCGGATGTCCAGGCAGTGGTCGAGGCAGTTCGAAAAGATAAGATTCCATGCATTCTACCACATGTAGTCTTCATCAACTGCAGGATCTTTGTGGCTTCCACACTCGAGAGGGGTGAGGCAAATGAATCTTGATTTTGTGCTCCACCGGCAACCAGACCGGCTGCTCTGGTCAGTCGAGGGCGAGGGACAGTATGGCTGCTGTATTTTGGGGACTCAATTGACGGAAACCCGATAGAAGATGACGGATCTTCGGGCAATTTTGGCTGAGACGGGCTGGCTGTGTTAATTGACCCAACCCGCGTTCGAGTTTTGAAGGCGTTGGGGGTGATGTCGTTGCGTTGCTCCTCAGCCGCCGTTGTCCGCGATCGCGCCCGTTGACTCCTTGCTTCCACCGGAGGATCGTCTTCGCCTACTCCAGATGAGTGTTTATTGAAATCCCGACGACGTTCAGGCTCGATTGGTCGTGATCGCACGGTGTTTCGGGGTGAGGACAAAGCGCCCGTGAGGTGTTCAGGTTCGGATAAAGGGGAATGGTTGGCGGGGGAGTGCGACTCTGGCGTCACAGTTCGAATGGTAGTTTCTCGGAAACTGTCGGGATAGACCATACCATGCCGATCTCTAGATGAAGACTTCTTGCTTGCACGCCGTTCCACTGGACGACTGTATAACGCTTGGTGCATCGAGCTCCGCTTGAACGCGTTCGGATTCTCGGGCTCCATCTCGTTTAGTTATAGACAGCCCCTTCAACAGGCGAGGTACACAAAACGAAAATGAAACCCGTCAATATGTAAGGAAAGGAGAGACAGGTTCACTCCCTAATCGCGCCCAACACGACCTCCCTCAAAACAACCGGTGAGAAGACCTTGTTGGCACCCGACGTATGCGGCACAGCTGCGCTTGTATAATTGAGGATCACTTTTGTCCAGGAAATTGTTATAAGACCACATGGAGTCCGGTGAGAGGTTGGGTATCGGGGTCGCACATTCGGTCGAGGCGCCGGGAGAGGGGAAGCAATGGGAGACCAGGACAAAGGAGGGCGCGGGTCACCGTCGTTTGTCTGAGAGATGCAGGAGAACCTAGCGAATACGGTGAGCGTCCAATCCTCCGGCCAGTCGATAGCGATAGTGTCGCTGTCAGTGTCAGTGATGGTCTGAAGAAGCGACCCAGAAATTGGGAAGGGCGTGATATCATTATTATTGGAGGGAGGGGAAGGGGGGTATGGGAATAGGGTATAGGGAGTAAAGAGATGCGCACATACCTTCATCAGTCCCTTTTGAAATTGGGGAGGTTTTGACTATCTCTAGGAGAGGTGTTTGTGTGCGTATATGTGTTTTCGCGGATTCCAGCAAATGTAGGCCGCTTTGGGATGGGGGCAGAATGAGGGGAAGGGCTTCAAAGAAAAAGATTTCCCAAAATTGAAGAATCAAGTTGAAATTGCAATATGATCCGACGATTGCAAAAAAAGACAGAGAGAGAAAAGAGAAGAGAGAGGGGAGGGGGAGGGGAGAGAGAAGTGGATTTAGCGGAGCTGAGTTTGTATAGGGGAAAAATAATGAAAGAATGAGAACGGCAATGCTTTAAGGGTCCTTTTCACCCTATAGTCTTTTGGGCTTTCTTCTAGTTCTACTATTGGCTCCATCTCTTCACCTTATACTCTCCCCTTTAGGCCACCTCGATGATACGGCAACACGGGATTACCTTCTATATACGATATACATCATAAATCCCCCAAAGTGAGGTTGGACTGTTTTTCCTAACGTATAGATCTAATAAATCTCAGCGCTTTAGCTTTCGGCCTTTAACCGAAAGATACCGAGTTTATGTTGTACAATCATCGGGGCAAGGGAAGAAGTAAATAACAGGTTTAAGCTGGACTTAAGCTGAAGTTGAGCTAGACTTGAGACCTGTAAGATCATATAGCTTGCCCCCCCCCCCCCCCCAGTCACTAGCGTGCATGTTTCCCCTTCCATTCGGATTCCCGAAGGTGGTCGTAAATTGCCGAGAGACTTTCTAGAAGAGACAACTGCATGGCGTCTTTTTACTGACTCGCACTGGTTAGTGGACAACCGGGGCTAGTGGAAATGGGGCCACTAATCTTGAGTCATGAGGGTTACGCTTGAGGTTTTGATCCATTTTTGGTGCATCGTACTCGGTACGGAAGTATATTATATTATATGATATGATATTATATTATATGTAATTCATTTGAGAATCCTATTTCCACCTTCTATATTGTTACAACTACATCCATTTTTTCTATCTGGTCTGCTCTCTGCAATAAAACTCCCAACGTGGTGTCTGGGGCGCAGATCCTGGTGCTAACTAGAAGAAGTACGGAGGAAAGGATGCACCTAGGCAAAATTTGACGGGAGCAGAATGGTTTACTCTACACATTGTTGTGGTCGTCCGAGAAGTCTCCAGCTACTAAAGCAAGAGGGAAATCCCCCGAAAGTGGAGCCGCTTGTTTGTCTGTAGAGTTTAGGAAATGAGATCTTCAGCCAGGATTACATACTGGAGTAACACAGGACTCAGTTCAAATTGAGCTGTGGAGAGATGATGGATGTGAGTGCTAGCATATAATCACACTTGAGTTTGAAGAATTTAACAAGAAATTATCATGAGATAGAGTAGCAAGTGCGAAACAATTCCGAATGTCTACTCCGTACGGTTACCCGCACATGACCGCACAGATGATTTCAGGTCACATGACCCACTATCAGCAGGTGGCGCACAATAAATTATAAGGATTAATATAGTAAATTTTCATCTTCTACATTCGATCTTCGTATACCAATAGATGAAAAAATAGATTTACTTTTCCAATGTTCTAATCCTGTTAACTTTCTCTATTACTATTCTCTAGACTTTAATACAGCTTGAAGTCTTACTCTACAACATACTAGGTGTGCGCTCCCATTGCACCGATCTGCCATTTCCGACCGCCCTCCTCCGCATTCCTTCCCCTTTGGGGATGGCGGCCGTGCCTTTGCTCTCGTTCGGGTTTAGCACTGTCCCTGGTCACTTTACTATCTATCTATAGCACACCGCTCGATCCACGCATTTTCTCCTCTCTTTCACCATCCAATTTATTTGTTCCCCCCCCCCCCTTCCCAAACTCCGACGCATTGCCCCTTTCATTTGCTCTTGGAACGCCAATCCATACGGGCCGTTCTGACGAGTGTTGCTACAAAGCCATCCAGTTGCACCTAGGAGCAGAAGCATCGGGGTGATCTAAGCCGCAGGCTTGTCGTTTGATTGCGTATTGATATTTTGTATCCCGAAGAAGCCACCATGAATCTTGCTACAAACCCGTGTAGATTATTTCCATCTGGATGAGCCAATCCAGATTCGGGGTATAGCTAGGTCCCTATATCCCTCCACTCAGACTCGTATTTAGGGTGACGGCTCTAGTAAGCTGTATAGCATTTGATTGATCTGCTATTGATCTGCTTCGTGATTCCGATGTTAGCCCCGAGGCTGGACTCAAATAAGGCAAAGACCAACTCATGTGCCACGACGAGCTTCAGAACACCGGACGACCATCGTCTTGGGTGTTTCGAGTAAGGAGAGAATATTGTAGCAAAGGAGGAAGTAGTATGTCATGTGAGACTAATCCATAGTGCGACTCGACTGCGTACTGTTTATTGGTCTCGAAGATTCCTCTAAAGGTGCTCAAATTTATTCTCTATACTGTTCAAGCACACCACCCTCTGCTAGACTAAACCATGTATACAAAATAACCCACCGTGTCCGTTGGACAGATCCTGATCTGACTCCCCACCGACCAAATTTCCCTCCGTTGAGAGCACACTGCGCGATTGGTTTCTAAACCTCATCTACTATACTCGCCACCCGTCCCAAAGAGGGATACCAAGTCGTCGAAATTCTCGGAAATCTAATTTCCAGAGAGGGTTATGAGGACCCTGTTTTCCACCACTGTAAGAATGAAGAACATTACTTCTGCCCTCAGCTGTAGACCGACATCGACCCCACGTGGAACCAACTTGAGTATCAGTGGGAACTACTGGTAAAGACCAGCATGCTCGTAGCGCTAAATTTGTTGGCGACGGAATGGCAATAAGGAATAAAAATCGATGACTGAGAGTAGTTGGTGCAGTGAAACATAGATCGACCACGCACTCTGAGATTGTCTGAATTCCATCCAGTCCCCACTCAAGCCGACACCATTCCACATATTGTTCAGTGAAGAAATCTAGATCATGCGTAGACCATGACCAGCGTGTTGGTGCGGCATTATAGATGTGGCGGAAGAGCTCTAGATTCCAGAGGCCGCGATGCGTCCGATAAGACTCAATCCATGATGGTGGATATATCGCAAGTAGTGATGTTTCACCATGGCTTTCTGGAAGTCTTCCATGCATCCGCTCTGTAAGGTCGGCTGCAGGGGCAATTGGACGGTGGGGCTTTGCGGACTCGAGACGATTGACGAGATGCTGGAGACAAGCGCAGGAAGTATGATGGACCTTTGCCGCTGTAGTCACAGCCTGGCGCGCCGCAGCTAATGAGTTGATGCTGGAAACAGAAGCAGACTGCAAGGCACCCCCCGACAAGCTGTCGAGCTGTTTTAGCAAGGCCGGGGGGTGAATATTGTAGACTCGATAGAGGCCAAGAGTGTGAATTCATTGTAGAGCCCCTCCGAGGTTAGAGGACAATTTTTCAGGACGTGTTGGGCGATAGTCTTATACGAGATATTGAATACTTGCTCTGCTCGGGAAGATATCTTTTGTAGACCGTCTAAGCTGGCAAAGTCACAACAAGACTCGAGAATCAGCAAAATGATTTCCGTTGGGAGTTTTGCAAAGGGATCCATTCTCGGCCAAGATGGAACCGATGAGTGAATGGTTATAGGGTAATGGATAAGAACAAAGAAAAATAGGTTTGTTTAGTAGTACGATGGATCAAAGGCAAGGATTGCTCGAGTACCTGATCCACATGTTCTCGACTGATCAAAGAAAGATTTATGATGATCTACAAATTATTTACGCATTCGTATTCCAAAATCACCTGATATGCTGATTTCAGAAGTACTCCAAGGGCTTTGACTCTTCTTAACATAAATCCCTCTGGGCTTATAGTAACCTAGAAGCCATGTCTGGGGAATTGTGCTGACAAAATGGAGCTAGTGCGGGAGATTTGCCGGGGGTGGGTCTTTACCCTGGAAAGCCTCAATCTTGAAAGGATCGTCTTAGCGCGAGGCTACATGGTCTCAAAGGGACTAGTAATGAATGTATAGAGTACTTGAACGGAAACTGTTCTCAGCGACAGGTAGTGGATTCATGAAAACGTGACTTTGGAATTTCAAAAGTCAACTGTGCATGTACCTTGCCATGCCAGAGCGGCCGAGAACTGGTACAAAAGCATGGACTATGTATGCACGCCACTCTGCTTTTTTCTGCTAGTAATACCAATACCAATAATTGATATAAATTGATTAATGGTATTACCTCTCATCTTACTTTGTATTTTATTGACTGTATGCACTTGAAATAATACTGTATTCTAGATTAGTGGCGTGCATGCATGTGCATTGCATTGTACAAGTTCTCTGCCGAGTTGGCATGACAGGGTATGCTAATATTAGTAGGGGTTATACTTTGAATCTTTCTAATGAGACCCTCGTTGTTGACAGTCAGGTTGTGGCCTTCACGAAGATAATCAGTATATGTATGGTCTGACTGTATATATAAACGCGTGGAAGGGTTGTATATTGTACATATATACATAGTACATATATGCAGTAAGTTTGAGAGTAATGTAAGGTATCAAAAAGCCACTTGTGGAAGTTGACACGCTGACGTTCGGAGCTCATGTATGGAGATAAGACAAGGTCGATAAGGAGCCAATCACGTGATGTATATCACGCACATGACATTTATCTACGTGCCTGAGGCGCCAAGGAAACCCCCCTTCTTGTTATGTCATCATAGATAGAGGTCTGGGGAATGACCACAGCTCCTGGTGACTGTTATCACGAGGACTAGGTCAGATGCATACTTATCCTGTTATAAACTTAGTACAATCACCCTAAGCAGGGCACATACCCATTTCCAACCCGATAACATTCGGCCCGCTGTGTTGATAGCGATCCCCATCTCCGCATTATCAACTGCCGCTGGATGGCATTTCATCACCACCATCACTGGCTTCTGAAGCTGTTGCCATGAGTGGTCTGACCATAGCCTTTAGTCTGATCCAAAATGATGTCCTCTAACATATTATCACGGTTCCTACCCCCAACGGGCTCCCCATCGGTCTACGAGACCATTCGCCAACATGACGCCGGGTCCGAGTACTCTGATCTCGAAGAACGTGCAGGCTTGGTCATAGAAGATCAACAGGGACAGTTTAGTGACCGGGAACTGGAGGATGCATTAGCGGATGCGCAGGACAGTGAAATAATCAGCCCCAGTACTGCGTTGCTCGACCAAGCACGGTCGGGCAAGGCACCTGAAGAGCGAGCTTCTCCATCTGGCACCCGCCGTCGCAAGTCGTCCCGGCCTCGGTGGATGCCACAAGAATCACCACTCGGCTATGAGCTTGACGATCATGACGAGGACGTTCCACAATCTCTGCTGGTAGAAGGTCATCACGAAGATCTGAGATCACGGTTACCTCCTCCTCCCCCCATTCTCATGATCGTTCGGATCGACGAAGACCCCCTAGCCCTGAACTATCCCCGCAATCTCCCAGAGCCCGCTGGAATGAACGAGGAGCAGCCCCTCAGCCACCGCCCAGTGAAAGCGGTCATCCAATAAGGAGATGGTTCACTGGGCAACACCCCGGTCTTGCCAATACTGACCCCAAGAAGAAAGCAATGTGGCGATGGGCAAACGTCGAGGATCTGGATAACTTCTTAAAGGACGTCTACATATACTTCTTAGGAAACGGAATTTGGTCCATTCTGCTGACCCGGGTGTTGAACCTCTTGTAAGTTGAGGATAGTACACTTTCCAGAGAATCGCAGGAGAGGCTGACAGTACAAAAGGACATTTGCATTCGTTGTTGGTTTCTCTACATTTTTAACCAACTGCATTGATTACCCTAAAGTCCGGCGGAGTAAGACTCTGGATGATATTCTCGTGCCCCAATGCACAGCGAATATGTCCGGGTCGTCCACGTTTTTGTTGTGGCTCTTTAGCTTCTTCTGGATTGGGAAGCTTTTTCAATACCTGCTAGACATTCGCAGGCTGAAACACCTACATGACTTCTATCTCTACCTACTTGGCGTTTCAGATGCCGAGGTCCAGACGATTTCCTGGCAAGAAGTCGTGAGCCGACTGATGGCATTGAGAGACTCAAATCCATCTACCGCAGCGGCAGTTTCTGCCAAACATCGAAGATTCATGGGCAGCCAGTCAAAGCAGCGAATGGACGCTCACGACATTGCCAACCGCCTGATGCGCAAGGAGAACTACATGATCGCCTTGGTAAACAAGGATATTTTGGACCTCACTCTCCCTATTCCATTCCTCAAGAATCGACAACTCTTTTCGCGAACCATGGAATGGAATCTCAATCTTTGTGTCATGGACTATGTTTTTAATGAGCAAGGCCAACTGCGGACCTTGTTCCTCAAGGACACACATCGAAGAGCGCTGAGTGATGGCTTACGCCGACGCTTTGTTTTTGCTGGCGTCATGAATATTTTCGTAGCACCCTTCATTGTGGTCTATTTTATGATGCACTACTTCTTTCGGTACTTCAACGAGTTCAAGAAGAATCCGGGCCAAATCGGATCCCGCCAATATACACCTATGGCGGAATGGAAATTTCGCGAGTTCAATGAGCTTTGGCATCTTTTTGAGCGTCGGATCAACATGTCTTATCCCTTTGCCAGTCGCTATGTTGACCAATTTCCCAAGGATAAGACTGTTCAAGTGGCACGGTTTGTTGCTTTCATCTCTGGGGCTCTTGCCTCGGTGTTAGCCCTTGCCTCGGTGATAGATCCAGAACTCTTCCTTGGGTTTGAGATTACCCCTGACCGGACTGTTCTATTCTATCTTGGTATCTTTGGCACAGTCTGGGCTTTTGCGCGAGGGCTGGCACCCGAAGAGACCGATGTCTTCGACCCCGAGTATGCACTCCTGGAGCTAATCGACTTTACACATTACTTCCCATCCGGATGGAAGGGGCGTTTGCATAGCGACGACGTGCGGAAAGAATTCGCAGTCCTCTATCAAATGAAGATTGTGATATTCTTGGAAGAGATCTTGAGCATGATTTTCACTCCTTTCGTCCTGTGGTTCAGCTTGCCCAAGTGCAGTGACCGCCTCATTGACTTCTTCCGGGAGTTCACCGTGCACGTTGATGGTGTAGGTTATCTCTGCTCTTTTGCCGTGTTTGACTTCAAGAAGGGCACAAATGTGCTCTCCCAAGCCGGACCTGGGCGCCGGGACCCTGGCAAACAGGATCTGCGCACTGATTACTTCTCAACTAAAGACGGCAAGATGCTAGCTTCTTATTATGGCTTCTTGGACAACTACGGTACCAACCATCAACCTACCAGCCGGCGACCATTCCATCCACCGCCAACACTGCCAACTCTCGGCTCGCCCACTGCAGCCGAGTTCGGTGCTCTTCCTGATCGCCCTGACCATCTCCAGACACGCACCGGGCTGACCTCCGGCATGCCATTCGGCCCTCAATCACTGATAGGCACCTCTAAACTAAGGCAAATGGGAGGATTCGACCGCCGCTCTCCTGCACCGTCTATCCTCCTTGACCCGCAGCACCAGCCTTCGACCACTGGGTTCCGCGCTGCAGCCAGGACCACCCCACAGCAACACCAGCGCTCTCGTCTCGGGCGCTCCCAGTACCCGTCTACGGAACCCATCGACGATGAGGAAGAACCGCTATCCCAAGACGGCCGTGATTCAGCAACACGACATTCCGGTCCTCGGGCCGGTACTTCCAGTGCAGGTGCAGGCACCAGTGAGAGCAACCTCGGCGATTCTTGGCGCATGAACCCCCTCAGCAGGGACGACGATGACCCCGATGAAGGCGATGAAGGCGAAAATATTGACGCCATCGCTGGCGGGGGTGGCGTTTTGGGCCTAATTCAGCAGTTCCAGAAAGCTAACACCGAAGGCCGGCGGACAACTGTGGGGATCTAGATATTTGTTCTATGCAATTTCTAACAGGAAGATCATAGCTTATATGTTTCAGACACAATATACCATTTGAACGGAGTTCAGTCTCTTCTAACCTTTATGTGCTCTATATTGTTTGTTATGATAGGGTAGTATGTCAGTAGTCATCAATAGAAATGCCTAGGATAGCCGCATACACCCATCTCAGGCACTCAATACATATAGCTTTGGGCACCTAAACTTTACCGATGTTCCCCTCTTTCTTTTCTGTTCACCCGTCTATTACTCTTTCGTCTTATTTCGACTGCCCCAGGTCAACGTTTATATAATACCAGTAGCATTACTGTTGAAGATGTTCAGCTGTTTCCAAGACTGTATTTTCGGGGGGCGAAAAAGCCACGATCCCCAGAGTCCATTGGTTCCGCTATTGTCACCAAGATCCTCAATGCCGAGACACCCTATTCACTCCGCAAAGATGTGAACGAGGAGCTTTCAGTCGAAGGTTGGTCCGACGCTATAGCACAAGCTATCCTCCGTGGCTTAGAGAATGCAATCAAAGCCGGTGCGGACATGGCGCAAGCTGCGTCTGATGCTGCAACCCAAAGCAAAAACGCCGCTGTTGGCTTTACAACAGACCATCCTGTCTACGCTACACTGATTGCAATGGGTATTTTGGCCTTGTTGACACCGTTGGCTCTTGAGATGCTTGGATTTGCGGAGTCAGGTCCAGTTGCGGGGTCATTCGCAGCTGCATGGCAACGAACGTATGCTGGATATGTGCCTAAGAATGCTTTGTTTGGATATTTCCAGAGGCTGGGGATGAAATGGCATTGGGTTTATTAGAGGTCCACCTGAGTATGGTCCTCCTAGTGTGCGAGTCCATTACGCGTTTTAGTAATTTACGTGACGATCAATATCCAATGTAAGGCGAGAAGAGAAACTGTCTCTGCGTTTATAATGATGAATCTATCTACTACCATATAGCTCCATATACTCCACTCGTAAGCAAGCAGGCAGGCAGTCGCCTTGCCAACTTATATGCATCAAGCCAAAAAAAGCCCTACAGAGGGGAAACGGCCATTCGATATCCCACTCCGTATTTCCTTTGCTGTTGTCCTCGCAATCTCAAAATCAATTCCGATGTCTGCCCCTTTAGCTCTCAAATACACGAAAATTGAATTTCGCTTGGAACATATCCAACTGCCGACGTGCAATACAAATCAAAAAAATACCGATCTATGCAATTGGGTTTAGCTGTCAGACCTGGATTGTCTGTAATCGGACTAGATGACATATGGGCTTCTCACAGATCGGACTTATGGGGTGGATATATGGGAATGAAGAAATTTGGGTGGCTGAAAACTAAGCTCCAGATGGCTGATATATTTAGTAAAGGCTGACCGTTGAGAGCTCTTGGATCTCTTGGATCTCTTGGCCTAGCTTGGATTTGTTCTAACCCCTGATAATCCATATCAGGCTGACACCTGGCCATTCAAATGTCCGATCCGATCACTATGTCCGGTTCATAAGCCTGTATCAAGATAATTATACTTGGGTATAGGGTATATTCTCCGGTCACAATTGTACTCCGTACATCCGGCATGCAATTGTAATATTTTCAAACGGAGTGTTATGTATCCCCTGAGGCTGCAGGCTGCAGGGGTTACTAGCACCAATGGGAGATGAGCCCCGTGGACCACATTTGCGACGGAGGCACTTGATATGGACTAGCGGAAGAATCGATTGATGATAGGCCAATTTGAAGACCCTTGCGGGTTGCATGCATTTAATCCAGTCACAGTTCGGAATTCGGGGCCAATGATCGGCGTTGAAACAGCCCTGTTAATTCACTAAAAAGATGGCGCCTGGGCTGTAATTCCCTGCCTTGAAGACCCGATAACCGCGGCTCTCAGGGTTTGGGATTGTTGAGATCATTGAATTCACTGGATTCATTGGAAGATCTCTCTTTCTTTGGAGAGAGATAGAAAGTTGAACAAAAACACAAAAACACAGACACTTAAAGAAGCTGAAGTTGTGGAAGAACCAAAATAGAACGGGGAGGCTCTAGCATGTGGATCTTCTTATTTACTTGTGGAGTCTCGTGATTTCATCTGGACTTGGCTAATCTCGGTGTTTTCTTCCTTTCTCCTTCCTTTCTATTTTCTATTCTCGAATACACGGTGACCGCTCGCGATGTTTCGAGCTCGCCGATACCGAGTTCTGGTCGTATTCGCGGCGGCTGTCGTCTTCACATTCTTCCACTTTGCGCGGTCACGCGATTGGAGCTATACAGTTGTTGAAGAGTCCATTGGCGTTCATTCACCCGATGCCCAGCCGAATCAACCCGCGACACCAAAACCTGAAAATCCGGCCGCTGCTGCCGCCATCGAGGAGAGTAGAAATCGTGTTCTTCCGAATCCCTACCGCGGCACCACCTCCCCACCCCCAGAGAAGATAACCTCGCCCGTGGGTCCCAATAGCGGCTCAAAGGATGGCACTAGCCGGTTCAAAGATGCTTCCTCCGACACTCCGCCGGTGAAACCGACCGCCGAGGATGACCCGAAAGACTCCGCGAGAGAACCCGTGAAGAAACCGGTGAAGGTGGAGAACACCGGCAGCTTGTCACCACCTACAACGGATAATATCAAGAGTGCAAACGAGGAGGAGATTGACCATGGAGGGGCCGGCAGAAGGACGGCGGAGCGCCCTCAACCTGGCATTCCAACGGCCAAGTGGAAGAAGTTCCCAGAACGGTTCCCCGTCCCTGCAGAGGAGGTGATCAAGCTGCCAAAGGAACAGTCCAAAACAATCCCCAAGCTGCAGGCGAAGTTCAAGGATGAGTCTAGCTCCGACAAGCAAGAGCGCCTGCAACGGCTTAGCGCCATCAAAGCCGAGTTCACGCATGCCTGGAAAGGTTATAAGGAGATCGCGATGGGACATGACGAAGTCAAGCCTCTGTCAAAGGAGTTTGAAGACCCATTCAATGGTTGGGGGGCGACACTGGTCGATTCAATTGATACTCTCTGGATTATGCAATTGAAGGATGAATTCTCCGAGGCTCTGGACGTGATCAAAAACATTGATTTCAAAACATCACTGAGAGCAGATATTCCGATGTTTGAGACAACCATCCGCTATCTTGGAGGTCTTTTGGGTGCCTATGATATTTCTGGCCAACGATACCCGATACTTTTGGAGAAAGCAGAGGAACTTGCTGAGGTTCTCATTGGCGCCTTTGACACACCTAACCGCATGCCACACCTTTACTATCGCTGGGCCCCGTAAGTCTTTAGTGTCACAATTTCTCTCTGATAAACTGGGTGACGACTAACCGGAATCTCCTAGAGAGTATGCCGCGAAACCGCATCGTGCTTCTTCCCGAGCTGGCCTGGCTGAAATCGGGTCGCTTTCCTTGGAATTTACCCGTCTGGCTCAATTGACCAAGCGGGACAAATACTACGATGCAATTGCACGGATTACCAACGAACTGGAGAAAATCCAAGATTCAACTAGCATCCCTGGACTGTGGCCTCTACGGGTCAATGCACAGGGATGTCCCAAGTACTCCAAGAACACGTCTCCACGCAATAATAGCCCTACACGCGAGCAGCATGCCGCTAGTACGACCACGAGCACTACTTCGGTGACCCATAAAACTTACGCTGCACCAACAGACCTTGAGAGTTATCTGAAGCTGCTCCCACGAGACACAAACGCTGGGCTCGAAGGACATGTCCGACCGGGCAATGATACGAGAGCCACAGGCGAACCTGACATTCAGGCACGCGAACAAAATACACTATCTGCAGATCAATGCAATGGCGGCTTGGGACTTCCTAATTCACCCCACGATAACGCTTACACCATGGGAGGAATGGCTGACTCGACGTACGAATATCTGCCCAAGGAATACCTGCTACTAGGTGGTCTGAACGAGCAATACCTGAATATGTACAAAAAGGCAGCTAATGCAGCCCGCAAGTCTCTTCTCTTCCAGCCTATGGTTAAAGGTGGACGTGATATCCGGTTCATGGCCTCAACTTCTTCAGTGACACTTGGAAAGACCGCAGAGATCACTCCCACCGATCTTGAATACGAAGGCACTCACCTAACATGTTTCGTCGGCGGCATGTTCGCCATAGGAGCCAAAGCCTTTGGCATCGATGGTGATCTGGAACTCGCGGCCAAACTGACCGACGGTTGTGTTTGGGCTTACGAGTCGACACAAACCGGAGTGATGCCTGAGCGTTTCCGCCTCTTGCCATGCGAGAAAGGCTCGGCCTGCGAGTGGGATCAAGCCCGCTTTGAGGCTGGCGTGGCCTCGCGCGTAGACCCCGGGGCAGGACATTCATTCCGCAATGGAGAGAGCAGCTACAAACAGCGCGTGGATTTGATTTCGCACGATCCACCGCCAGGATCTGCGAGCGGGTCGGTCCCCATCCCCATGCCGGGCTCATTAAATCCCCACGATAGCGACGTGGCCAAGCGCGATGGACTAGGAAACCACGCGGAAGCGTCGTCTGCTGCCTCAAGCCCGACTCCTATTCCCAATGGAGCTGACCTGCAGAATCGAGATGCACCTCGTTCATCTTCGTCGCCCGCTTCGCCTCACGTCGCCGAAGTCGGCAAAGACCACCTCCCATCAGGCATGACCAGTATCCCGTCGCCGAATTACTATCTTCGGCCCGAGGCAATTGAGTCAGTCTTTATCATGTACCGTCTGACTGGCGACGAATCCTGGCGTCGCAAGGGATGGCAGATGTTCGAGGCCATCTCGAAGTATACCCGAACGGAGCTGGCCAACGCGGCCATCCACGATGTCACAGCCCAGAAACCGATCCATAAGGATACAATGGAGTCTTTCTGGCTAGCTGAGACGTTGAAGTACTTCTACCTTTTGTTCAGCGACCCTACTGTCGTGGACTTGGATAAATATGTTCTGTAAGTGACGTAGCCTGTAAACAACGGACCAGCAGCTGACTTTTCATAGGAATACCGAAGCGCATCCATTCCTGCGCCCGATTGCATAATTGTGTTTTGCATTTTGATACCAATGAAAGTTCTTCTATAGAAATCGTACATTCCCTCGAAGTAGTAACGTAGTGCGTACCTTAGGGTTGACCCGCAGTGGGACTTGAATTCCCCCCAATTTCCCCCCCGCCCTTCAACTCTCTCCAACTCTTCAAACCGGCACATAACCGGTATGACAGTCTGACGGGAAATGGAGCCTGAGGTCTCGGAGACTGAGTTCTGGACAGGTACGTTGTTCTCAATCCACTCTTTTCTCCTTTGAAGATATGCGACGTGACAATTGACCGATTCTCTCAGAACTTCAAACGATAGTCTCCAAGCCCTGCGACTCCGAGGACCAGATCGATGATGCCCTCCGAGCTTATCTTAGTCTAACAACTCAACACAAAGGTAAGTGGCACCTCGAACCTCCCGAGAAGTGATGTCTCTACCCCCAAGAACGCACTCCGGCGAGCAGCGCTACGACCGCCCCCAACTTTGTTTCCACTGCGACTAACAAACCCGCCCCTCCCTAGGTGAATATCTCCGGTCGGAAACCGATATCTCGCGTTGTTCCTATAAGCTATTTACTTCGAGTATCTTTGCCACACATGCGGACTACGTGCGACGACAGATTCTCTACGGTCTTTTGCAGGACGATGACCCGGACACCCTCCACTTCCTTGCGTCTTTCATTCTCTTTGACGGACGACAGAATGAAGTTGTACTTCAGATGCTGAATGATGAGGGCGTGTTTGCGCGTCTCCTCGAGCTTATACAGGCGATGCGGAGGGCGGATCTGGATGGCGACGCGGGTTTGCATCGCTTGTTGATGGACCTTGTTTATGAGATGTCAAGGATACAAAGGGTTAAAATTGAGGACTTGGGTGCGTTTTGGATGGACATATGCTGCTGCCCGTAGTTGCGTGGACTGGTAGCTGACCATGAGGCTCGTGTGCAGTTCTCGTGGATGATGATTTCGTTCGCTGTCTTTTTGATATCATCGAAGATCTCTCTTACGACGTTACCGATCCGTATCACTACCCCGTCATTCGGGTATTGGTGAGTACTGTCCTCGGGCTCTAGGTCAGAATGGGATTGACGAATTGCACAGCTGGTTTTGAACGAGCAGTTCATGATCTCAGCTCACGATCCGGTGGACGGCCGGCCCTCTGGTCAATTGACCAACAAGGTAATCAAGGTTCTATCGGCGTTTGGTGGGATGTATAAGACATTCGGGGAGAACATCATTCTTCTTATTAACCGTGAAGGTAACGGGTGATCCTCCCGTTCAATAAAACCAATGACTGACAATATGCAGCCGAGACGTCCCTTCAGTTGCTCACATTGAAGCTTCTCTATCTCATATTTACCACTCCTAGCACATATGAGTACTTCTTCACGAACGATCTACACGTTCTGGTCGATATTTTGATCCGGAATCTGCTTGATCTACCCGAGGAAGCCTCCGCGCTCCGGCATACTTACCTGCGTGTTCTTTATCCACTTCTAGCTCATACACAGCTACGAAACCCGCCGCACTACAAGCGTGATGGACTTCGAAGGCTACTCAGCATTCTTGTTCGGGGGCAAGTCTCATATGGGAGCGACTCAGAGCACGAGAAAATCCTGCATTTCGAAGAGGTCGATGAAACGACACGTCGACTTGTCGCTCGGTGTGCGACAGTAGATTGGCTGCTCAAAACCGAACAGCCCAATGCAGCAGAAACGCAAGACACCCCCACCCAAGTGACAACAACTACAATTGAAACTGTCCTAGATCAAGCCGAGCAGCATGCGTCGCCAATAGATATTGGCGAACCACTGGACGGCTCTCGCACACTGTCACGAACAAGCACAACCGCTAGCTCGTCCGATACAACATCACCAACGCGAACGGACTCTTATAGTTCGTGTAATACACCGGGGAGTCGGAAACACAGCTTAATCCACCGCCTCGGTATGAACCTGGAGCCCGCATCCTCATCTTCACTGAGCGTTCAGGCCGTTGCAGCACAGCACGAAAAACCAGGCATAATCACCCCCAGCCGCAAAGATGGAGTTCCCGCCGCCCTCAATGACGAGACGCCAATAATCCGACCACCAAAGGTCAAACCAGAACCACCGAAATCTCGCCGCTGGCGCGGGCGCCGTCTGGGCGTGGATGAAGAAGAGCACCACTCTGCTGGCACAAGCAGCGACGGGAACACCATCCCCGAAGGCGTGGAAGTCAGTCCAACCACCGTTTTCACCCCCAGCACGCCACCGTCACATACACATACTGGCGATCATGGCGACTCCGGGTCAGGTTCTACTCTTGCACCCCCAGGTCCACGGCCACGGCGGGCCGTATCAAACCCACCCCCGGCCCTCCCACCACCACGCCGTTCCAGCCATACCACACCTTCATTAAGCCAGCATCGGCCCTCGGTCCCAGCAGTCGGAGCAGGCCGACATGGGCAGGCTCCACTTCCGCCAAAAACGCGCCGCTGGGGACGTGGAAAACCCCAGCATGGACAGAGTGACTCGATCGAGAGTGGGGCCAGCAGTGTTAGTCCACCGAAGGAGCCTGAGACTGCTGAAAACACCGCAGTGCCTGCTCAGCAAGAACAGTCACCAGAGGGCAGTGTTCTTTCAGACCCGTTCTCGCCAAAGTCTCCCACAATTTTGATTTCGCCGTCTGACGCCACTGCAGACAAGGCAGATGGCCCAACCGATGGTGCTGGCGATGACCGTGCACCTGTCAGTGTAGAGGAGGCAGTGCAGAATGTTTCTCTGCATTGAGCGTTGCTTTTCGATCTGTTTAATTCCCCTTCCTTTCATGATTAGATATACTCTTTGCCCGTGGCTCATTTTCAGGGTTTTATTTTTGGCATCAAGCGCGGCTGTTCGGGTGAACAGGTTGGGACATGATAGGTTATGTCTCTAGGTATTTTGCATGAGCAATCTGGAAGTTCCAATGAATATTGAGGATACCAGCGAGGACTAGATCCTAGAATAGCAACATATAGTATTTTCGCTGACAAGAATGGAGTAGTTTACAATAATAGAATAGTCAGAATAAAAGAACAAATCTATCTCCCACCAAGCAAGGCCTGCTTCAATTAGCTTCCCTCCACGACCTCAATTGCGGGCTGATCATCTATACCAAGAGGTTCATTCAAAATCCCCTCAAATCTTCAACCCCCAGCTTCGCCCCAGTCCAATAGCAGTATTCCACCCAAATCCAGCACACTGTCCAATGCCAGTAAGCTTATCAGCAAGCGCCTTCCGATCCTCAAACCGGCGCTCCACGAACGCCGCCGTATCCACAAGATCCGGCGTCGGGTCACGGGTCATAACAACCTCAGCACTGGCATAGATAGCCGAGACCGCGAGACGGCGTGTGTACCAAGCCGCATCGACAGCGTCATCACCAGAAAGAGTAAGAATATCCGAAGCGAGGGCATGCAGTTCCGTAAGAGAGATGGGGATATTAGCAAGAAGCGACATTTGCGCAAGAGCCTAGCGGAAATTAGCGGAAATCCTCAACATGATCATCTTCTCCTTCTGTCTCTATCTCCTTTAAAAAAAAACGGCAGAAAAGAAAGTTAGAAAGGAAAACTCACATCCTGCCAAGCATCCTTAACCTCCGCATTCATCCTCAACCTCTCCAAAATCAATCCCCTCACCCTCTCCTCAACAGAAAGCTCATGAACATCCTTCCCCTTCTCCGCCGCAATGCGCCGGAATAACGCACCCTCCTCGACCTTCCCGCGTAGCAAACCCCGTCGACTAGCAAGCCAGAAGAGGATGAGGTCGAATTCACCGCGCGGGAGTAGCTGCACCGAGACATCGAGGAAGCCGGCGTCGCGTGCGCCGAGGGTCAGTGCTGTTGCGGAGAAGCCGTGTGCGGGGACGTGGGTTAGTGCCGCGGTTAGGATTGCTGTTTGGGAGTTTGTGTAGGAGTGGTCTGGGAGCCTGGCATGGAGGGCTGAGTGGTAGGTTCGGTGGGGGAGGGGTGTTCGGGGTTGATTTCGGGGTGTTGGTTGTGTTGTACGGGTGATGGATGTAGATTGGAGGATTCTTGTGCTAATTGATCGGGTTTGGCGGATAGATTGGGTTAGGGAGGGGTCGAGGACCCTTTTAGGTAGAGTTCGGGCGAGGTAGGCCATGTTTTGGGTGTGGTTGGGGGGAATTGATGAAGAGAAGAGGTAGATGAAGATGTGATGGTTGGAGATGTGTTGGTCCGTGCGTTGTAGTATAAGATCCGGATGGATCGTGCTTGCTCGAGAATTCGAGAATGGTATCATGCATGACTTACAAATATTTTGATATTGCTATTTATATAGACTAGAAGTGTACACTTAATTTGTATCAAGGTTATAATAAATCTACAATAATGCTCGACTTTGGGGGTTGTGTATATTCTGTATGGGATACAATGGTGCTTTGGAAGTGCAGCAGTAAACATATGTGTGAACGGTACATACACTCCATACCACTCGACTTCAAATGCTGGTATAAAGCTAGAAGTATTTCCACTTCCAGTAGATTTCAATTTCTTCCACAGATGTGAGACAGAAAGAGATCAAATGAGCTGACAAGGAAAAGCAAAGAAATGGAGTGAAAAGAAAAGAACGCATGGGGAAACGAACGGCGATGACGATAGCATGAAGAGGAAAGCCAGACCTCAGACAAACGCCCTATGCTATGGTAGCATCCGAATTTCTGAATGAAAAGAACTACACAGACTACAAAGCAAAGATATGGAAGAAAAAGGCTCTTTCCATTTTGGAAGCAGTTGATCAGCCCAAATGGGCACTCGAAACCCATTTTGCGAGGACAGAAGCCTCGAAAAAACTGAAATGGGAATAAGGGAATCATTGAATCAAGAAATTGCGAAAAAAAAGCCAGACGCCCCCCTGTCAAAGAAAGTGACTAGGTAAAACAAGGACGAAAACGCTTTACATGATCTGGTCCTGGGTCAGACCGGTTGGCTCTTGACCTTCCATCATTTCTTCGGGACCCGGACCAGCGTTCATGTATTTCACGAAGGTGATGCCCAGAGGACGACCACCGTACTGGTAGCCGGAGAACTTGGCTATAGGAAATAATATTAGTATGTGGGTACAACAGCTACCATCCAGTGGAACGTACCAATTGCAGTTTCAGCAGTGTCGGGACTATCAAATTGAACGACACCGGTACCGCGGGAGCGGCCGTTGGGCTCATACTGGATCTCAGCGCGTTCAACCTTTCCGATGGTGGAGAACAAATCGATCAGGTCCTCGTTGCAAGTGGACCAGGGCAACTGGGTTCGAGTTAGCATTCCATATAGTTGCCCATCGCGTATTTCTCAAAACTTACGTTGCGAACATAGATGACAGCGCTCTTCTCGCCGTTGGAAGTGGCATAATCAGTGAAAGGGTTGGGAGGTCCCGAGGGAACAGGAGGAGCACCCTGGTCAAATCCGCCAGGGAAACCACCGTGGCCGCCAGGGGGACCAGGGGGACCGCCGAAGCCACCGCGTCCACCGAAGCCACCGCCGAAGCCACCGCGTCCAGCAAAGCCTCCACGGCCACCCATGGGACCGCCGAAACCGCCACGACCACCAAAGCCACCACCAAAGCCGCCACGACCACCGAAGCCGGGGCCACCACCAGCGAAACGATCTTCACGAACTTCAAGGGGACGACCCTGCCAATCATATCCGTTAAACTGCGCAATGGCGTTGCGCGCATCATCGGGAGACTCAAAAGCAACGATGCCAGAGCCCTTGGGACGTCCGGTAGGGTCGGTGTGCACATCGGCACGAATGACGGCACCCTGCTGGGCTGTAATACGGAATCCGGGTCAATTCACCATAATCACACTAGACAAGAAAAGTAGGAATCCAAGTCCAAGGGGGATATTAGTCTGCACTTACCAGCTGAGCGGAACAGATCCTTCAAGTCTTGCCAGCCAACGTTGAAAGGAAGCTACACCGAACGGTCAACAAAGCCTGCCAGAACTTAGCGTAACGGGGGTAAAAAAGGGGACAAACGTTTGAGACATAAATCTGACGGCCACCACCACCAGCACCACCTGGGGGGCCTCCGAAACCACCACCACCGAAACCACCTCGGGCACCGGGGCCGAAATCACCGCGTGGGGGACCACCAACGAAACGGGGCTCGGATTCACGGTCCTGGACACTGAAGTCAGTTTCATGTAATCGCAACACCATGGATTCTGCAAAGACATACCTCACGAACGTAAACAAGACGACCCATCAGGCTCTGGTTGCTGAGCGTATTCACGGCGTTTTGTGCTTGGTCCCTGGTTGCATATTCCACAATCCTAGTAGACAAGTCAGCAAGAGCGTTCAATCCGAAAGAACAAGAAAGTACTCACCCGCATCCCTACAATATCAGGACAGCCAATGTCCACCCGTCAACCCTACACAAACCACGAAAATCGGGGGAATAGAAGGAACTAGCCCCTCTACATGTAAGCGCCCACCTTCGACATTCCATTAGGAAGAAGCAAAACATCGGCAAAGAGAACTTCTCCAGCTGTAAAACACAAAATCATAACCCCGGTTAGCTTTAGACGTTCCAACAAATTACCATTCCAAATGCGCAACCCTGCTCACCCTGTCTCATAAAATCCTTAAGGTGATGCCACTTGACATCATACGAAAGGTTGCCCACATAGACCCGGCGGTCTTGCTGGGATGAATCGCGAACGGTCTGCATCATATTCTCCTTGGCGACGGTGCGGTCCTCAAATCGAGCGGGGGGGTATCCACTGCGTCCACCGAAAGGAGAGCCTGGGGCAGCTGCTCCGGAAGCACTCAAAGGGGATCGGGAACGGCGTTCGGGACGGCGGTATTCGTCACGCTCACCACGGCTGCGGGAGCGACTGCGAGGGGAGTACGAACGGCGGGTGCGTCGGGGAGGACTGCGAGAAGAACGGCGACGGGGCGAGCGAGACCTCTCACGCTGGATGTGGTCAGACATGAACAAAGTAGATAAGAAAGGCGGTCGCGAAAGCGGTGCAATGTTATGATTTTGATGAAATGAAGATGGGAAGGAGCAAAAGAGGTGTTCAGAGGGCAGTCGCTACCGTGGAATGGCGCAACTCCGAGGGGGGTCGGGGTCCCTCGGTCAGGTGACCACCAGCTCTGAGGGGGGTTTGTCTCAGATGCAATGAGGACCTCCGGGGTGGTAGCTTGGAGCCACTAGCACATATTGTTTGCGCACACATCGCCTTTATTTTTTGGAATCAAACAATGCGATGGGCAAGTGCTTCCCGTTCAAGCTCACGGATGCTCCAGATCTGGAAGATATCTGATCGAACAGACATGGTTTCCAACCACCCCCCGCACTGACCACACTCTTGGGATCACTGATATAGAACTGAGAGCCATGCGCAACCTTGGGAATGGGCTATAGAATCGGCGGGAAATGGGAATATATAAAGAAAACGGGTTTCTCGGTAAACTTACTTGGTATGGTCGATAGACGTCGGCTGTGCGGATGAACTGTCAGCGGAGAATCTCAATAAACCAAAAGATAGGAAGAAATAGAGAAAAGAGAGGAAGCGGGGGAAGATGAAAGGATCAGGCGTCAAGGTTCAACCTTTGGGGGGAGACAAGAGACGGTGATTGGGCGGCCTGAAATGGCCGGGGACCTGGATGTACCAGATGAGAGTAACAAACGAGTAATACAAAGATACGAAAAAGAAAAGTGTAAGAGGACACGAAGAACATACCCATGATTCCGAGCTCGAGGGAGCGTGGAGGTAAGAAGTTGAATGTGGTACAAAGAAGAGAGAGAGGAGGGAGGGAGGAAGATGAGAATATAAGAGACAGAAGAGAAGTTTTGATTCCGAGATCCTATAAAGACTGGGGAAATATCAGCTTGGAGAGAAGAAAATACAGAATTCTGATATGTACTTGAACACCTCGGGCAAAACCCGTCACCGCCCGGCATATAGTTAAGATCTATTGTTTAGCTATAATGATACTCTATAGGAAATAGATTTATACAATGTAAATATGTATACCCTCTTTCAATATATTCAAAGACAACCTAATGATCTATTTACCGTATACTACACCTACATATGCTATGTAGCCCTATCCTCCAACCTGAGAAGACCATAAGCCTTATCGCTCTTATCATGCATCTCAACAGCTCCTGCGCACCAACATACCATCTGCACTCATGACTGGCTGCACAGCGTATTTCCGTTACTAAATTGCCACGGCCTGTATCATGTATCGGAAGACTACATCAAACAATTCAACTGGATCATGTTCATTTGCATCTTTTAAAAAAAGAAATCCAGAGTTTAATAATAAAAAAAACCTCGAACAAAAAGTCCCACTGGGAAACGAAAGAAATGGGTGCTGAGTGCCCAGCACTGGGAATCAAGAATAAATCCATGAAACAAGAAACAAAGAAATCCATTGCGCCACACCCTGCCGGTAAAACGAACGCCGACGCAGCATAACTTTTATGCTGTGGGAGAAACGGGACCTGTGTGGAAAACAGTCCCAACGAGAGGATCAAAACGCCTTCAAACGGACGAGGACGAATTGTATAAGGGGCAAGGAGAGGTACATGTACAGACAAAAGAGAATATCGAAGAATATAAGAAAAATGAAAAGACAAATATGGAGACGAAGATAGAGAGGGTAAGAGACCTATGCTGCCACATTGGTAGGAGGATAACGACCAGGGATCTTCATGTCCAGGGCAGAAAGACTGTCTGTATGGGCAATGTGGGGACGCAGCAAGTCAGATGGAATCTTGGCTGCACCGTTCGACTCGGGACCTTGATCCATGTAACCGTTCTCAAGGTCAAGGGTGTGGATCTTAGGGAGCTCTTGCTCATCTACCGAGGTAGGATTGGTATTGTTTGTATACTCAGTCGCATTGGTATTGGTAGGCGCCGTAGAGACACTCTCCCGACGATCAATCTGGGCAGGAGCCGAGTGATCGCGACGATCAGAAATACCAACACCGGAAATGGCAGCAAGGGAAGCCTGGTCTCCATCAGACCGGATCTCGCGGTCATCCGGGGTCGAGTTTTCCAGCTGCTGGCTCTGCCTCTGCTTGGCCACTATCACGGACGGTCCGATCCAGTCGCCGTAGTAGCTATCGTGTTGGGTAACTTTGGGGCGAGATCTTTCATTGGTCTCCTCGGTCCGGTAGTTTTGGTAAGAGTTGTCTGCTTCGCGGTTACCTACTGGTCGCAAGCTGTCGTCAAGTGCACTGGAACCATCGGGGTAAGACCCAGCAGCTCCTAGCATATCTCTGCCGGCGGAGCTGTCCCCGCTGGAAGGTGACAAGGCCGCCTGGTTGCTTCGGTCAATTTGGACGTCGCTGGGAAATGCACCTCCAGCTTGGCGAGAGGATGTGGGTCGGTCTTGAGACATGACCGCAGAGCCCGCGGCGTATGGAGTGCGATCGGCTTCATCGTCCTCCATTACCTCGTTCACCGACCTGCCACTCACGCTACGGACGTGCTGCCGGACGAAGGCGTTTCGTGCTTCCCCTGTCTTGCTGCTCAAGCCCTCGATATCTTCATACCAGGACATCATGGTCTCATGAGATTCGGCGCGGAAGACCCACGAGTGGCCTCGGTGCATTGCGCCAGTCTGTCGGCCCTTCAGCATAAACTTGTGGGAGCTTGAATCTTCCTGTGAGTGGGAACCAAGTTTCTGCTCTGGCAGATAAAGCGACATGACGGGCGTCTGCCATGCCACACGATCCGCCGACTTGAACTCGTGGAGATGTGTCGGTGACAAAACATACCTAGAATTTATTAGACAATGGCTTCAAACCGCACGAGAAAAAAAAAATTACTCACCAGCCAGGAGTATAACTCTTGAGATACTTGCTCTTGCGCTCCAACATCCCAGCCCTGACTTCGGCAGCTGCCGGATGATCCTTGCCAGGGTAGGTGATATTCTCCACATTCCGGAGAGGAATCCGAGGATCAACGAGCTCTTCCGTCTCGGAGACAAACTGGTTCCACTCGAAATCTTGGGGCATGGAGATCGGACCTGCCTGGAGCTTCTCAACAGTGTCAAGAGCTTCATTGGCTTCGCGTCGGAGGATACTAGCATAGGCATTGTATGCTTTCTGGATCTCGCTCACGACAATCCCTTCCAGTTCACGACCAGAGTTCTCTAGGTTCAAGAATGCCTACAAAAGCAAGATTAGACAAGCCACCAGTATAGGGGAAAGGTCATCACAAACCCGATGCAAGTAGTTCTCCTCCTCGATCTGTTTCTCGACCTGCTTCTCCACGTTTAGACGCAGGATGAACGGATCGCCTTTGCCTGATGTCGCAGAGGCATCGGTATCGACAAGTCCAAGAGCCTCGTGCAGGTTGCGTACAGACTTGCGTGTGCCGTCGATCTCCTTCTCGACAGTATTCTTGAAATCACCCGAAAGACTCTTGATCTCCTTGGTCTTCTTCTGGAGATCGCTGCGGAGACCAGTCAATTGGCTGATCACCTCGGTCTCCACCTCAATAGCTTTATTGGCCTCGGTGTAACCCTGTCGGTGGAAGTTCTGGAGAATCTCCGTTGCATCGGCTAGACCACCCGACGTAAGCAAGCCCGGTGGAAGATGCTGGTTATTAACGACACTCGAGGCGGACATGAACAGCTTCGCTCTAGCTTCGTATGATTTCTGTACCTCCTTAAAAAAGAGGATCAAGTCCTTCAGGAGTTTGCGCCAAGCTAAATCCTAGTTAGCAAAATCTCCATGACGCACACAATGACGGAGTATAGCCCACCTCCAAACCGGTTTGCTAGCACTTCGGTCGGGTTACTGTTGGTAGGGATCGGCACCGTGAAAGCACTATTGATATCGTCGGCACCATCTGTGTGATACTTTTCGCGATCACCCAAGCTCAGACTCCTCACACTGCCGGCACGCATGCTTCTCCGGCTCCCATTGCGGCGCAGGCTTCCCTTCTTGCTCAGCGAGGCCTTCTTTCGCAAAGTGCTCGAACGGGACGGGGTCGGGGAACGCGCGTGCGACATGGTGGAGACAGACCGCTGCATTCCAGCAGGGCCGTCAAACACCGAGCTGCGGTGACTGACGGTATCAAAGTCCTCCTTGAACCGACCTTGATAGGGAACCTGCGACGACTCGAGGGCGCCCGAGCTGTAGTGATATGCGGATGTGCCGGCGAAGGAATTCGGTCGCGATAGGGTAGAGCGCGGGCCGTATCCGCGACTCAAAGCCCCCGGATCGTTGGGGTGCGGGATCATGTATGCATCCTGCGAGGGCGTCTGTGGCCGCGCGGCCATCGCCATTGTCGGAAACGTGGAAGTTTATGGTTTATGGTTTGAGATCGAAATTCAATCTGAAAGAGAAAAGAGAAAAAGAGAAGAAAAGGTAGAAATCAAGGATAATCACCTTAAAGTGGCGTCTTGGTTACCTGGCGAACGGATGAAATTGTATGCGGGGGAGGTACAGATTTGCCCCACTCAAATGAAAAAAAAGGAGAAAGAAGATTGGGCTCCGATATAAGGCAGAGCAGGGGGAATTAAAGGAAGTTTTTCTGATGACGTCTACGAGATGGTGAGAAACTGGGCTCGGGACCTCCGGGAGAATTACCTAGGTAAGAGGGGGAAAAAAAAAGGAGATTAGACTTCTTATTTTCTCTATATCCTTTGGTTGACGTACTGGATCGGAATTTAAAGCCGAAGTATTCAATTTCTGGTATATATCAGCATATACTTACGGACTCCTATAAATGTAACTCGATATATGGTTGCCTGTTGAGGAAGTGGCTGAGGGGACTGCGCCCCTGAGAACAAAACTATTGAAATAAGATTATTAACATCCACTCGATCTGTGGCTAGACGAAAATAAAAGGGGAGTGTAATATTAACCCCCCTGATCTATAGTGATGAACAGTGCATGACGTCGGGATCTGGGGAGAAGGGGCAGATCAAAGGCACTCGAACTTTGTCCCTTATACTTCTCGGCTCATTCGGAATACTACCTTTATCTGGTTCTTTGCTCATACATACCATATTTTTATCTTGGCTTTCGTACATTGACTGCCGATCTGGCAAATTTCAGTCTCCAAAGGTGCCGAGGGAAGCCCCACGTGATGAATAGTGGGTCTATAGTATATCAGTTATCATGTGCGTGAAGCCACCAAATATCCCAGGTGTAGATATCTCTGACAAGAATTATGAAGAACAACCATAGTTGAAGCCACACAGGTTTGCAAGTTAGGAAGGTCTGAGTTATGCCAGTCCACCCAGCGGCATGAAGATCAAAACACAGTGAATCCCCCTCGTATGCCACGTATAAAGGATTTGGCAAGGCCCATATAGTGAACCAAGCTGAGAATATCTTATTGCAAGAAATCTGGCGAGCTTGGATAAATCATTTTCTTTGAGCATAGTGTCAATTATAGGAAAAGCCGGATTCAACCAAGGTCTGACAAGATTGCATTCGATATCCGAGTTGAAGAAGGTGCTATAAAGAAGTGATCGTATGCCCTAAATGTTAGAACTTAATGTTATATAGTAACGAAGCAATTATTTGTATTCGTCGAAGAGAGCGCATATCGATGCTGCACACTGAGTTGGGTGAGACTCTAAAGCATGAGTGTATAAAGGAAGAGAGACCGATCTGCCGCCCATATGAGGAATATAAAGCGCCGCAACAAGAGAAGCTGAGCATTGATTGTACAAGTTATGACGCACGCAGAATCGAGAAACATTGTCTAGGGCAACTGCCGAAGAAGGTGGCTTTACTTTAGCAATCGAAGATGTCTTCGTAATCGAGAACATGGATCTGTCGCAGGTCGACACAGACCGTGGTATCGTGACCATAATGAGAGCCTATGTTCCAAACGCTATCGGAACATAATATGGCGCTCCAACAAACAGCTTCAGCTTCATCGACGTCGTTACCTATGTCGATTTCGATCCGAAAGAAGATGACTTCCCGGGAATTCAACTTTCGTTGAGGTTTGAGTAGCTAGTAATAGCTGTTTGGGTATGACCCTAGGCCCCAGAGCACAATTCCCAAGTCCTCCAGATTGACTGTCCATTGATTAGAAGGCGACCCTTCTCTCCATGTGACGTCTGCTCGCAGGCAAAAGACGCGTTCGAGGGTAAAGTTCCCTGCCCGAGAAAATATGGTGTTTGTCCAAGAATGTTTTTCAATTCGAGGCTTTTAGAAAGTATGGAGATTTTTGTTTAGCGCGATCGAGATAATATGACCATTGTCTCAAGCTGTTGCGGAGAAGGCGGTCGAATCTGTCGTCACTTGGGCGAATTACATCGCCCATAGTCACAGGTGGAGGTTGAATGCCCGTACAGATTGAGGGGTGCAAAGGGGAGAAAGTCTGTTGCAAAAGTGAAAAAGAATGTGGGCAGGCAATAGAGGTAAGAATCTGTAATCATGTGAGGCATTTGTGCAAAATTAACGGCCAAAACTCACCAGCTTAGGCATATAAGATGTTTGACCCATTTTGTTCATATTAGATCTGATGCAAGATTGATTGTTCTGAAGGACAATGAATCAACAAATACAATTACACGTACTTCGAACACGTAGAATAACTACATATGTTTGAAGATGACCTTGATATACCGATTAACCTATCTTAAAAGCCAGAGTTCATCGTGATTTCATACTATAGTACACATATTTCCCTTCTAGCCTGAGAAGCATATTGGAGTCTTTCGCTCGTTTGATATACATGCGCTGTCATTGGCTCCCGGGTGGTCGGGGATCTCCCCTCGTTTCGGAGTATTGTTAGACACCAGAGTGGTATATGGCTGGTTCACGATGAAGCGATGTTTAGTTTCAAGCGATTGATTTTTACAGATCTTACAGTCTACATTTGATTGAGTGCCCTGGACTACCTACATGTGGGTATGCACTCCCTAGTATACCTAGGACCGCACAATCCTAATGTTGATCCAAACTTGAAATGTGTATTGTTTTGAATTTCCTGGAGACTAAAGAGAACCAAATCGAATGGGCGTGTCCAGGCGATAGGCAGCGTGATATGGGGGGATAATTTACACAAAGCAACGGGAAAAGGCGGATTGAGAAGAATGCGGGCTTATGATGCAGGGACTGGGGATGTGGGAACCTCAATGCCGTAAGTCGCCTTGAGACGCTCTCGGCGTCTTTCTTCGTAGCCAGGGCCGTAGATACCTAGTGAAATCAAGAGAATTAGTACCGGTAGACAATATCGCTACCCAGACAAGAAGCACATACCACGTCCTTCACCCAATTCCGAGATGGTCTGCTCTCCGGGGGTCTGGAATGCCTTGCGCAACGCCGTCCGGCGGTCGAACTCGTCCACTGATGTGTCCTTCTGGTATCCGAACAGGGAGCCACCAGTGTACTCGAAGGCGGTCATGGCGGTCGACAAAGCGATACCATATCCGAGCACAGCGGGGAGTGTGCGGACTGAGGTAAACCCGATTATTAGCTCCAAATACACAACCATATACTCAATTGAATTCATAACTAACCTCGGAGACCGAGAATGGCACCTGAGAAGAAGCCACCCAGAGCGACGTTGTAGTGGTCATCCTTCTCGCGCAGGTTGGCGGAAGCGCTCTTGATGAACTCATAGGTACCACCCATGGCCGCTTTAACAAGTCCAGTTTAGCAATTGATCCATCAAGTTAGGTGTAAAGAAGCCCATACCAAAGGTAGTAATGATACCACCGCCACGGACGAAGACGCCCAGAGTTCCGACGTTCTGCTTGGTGAGCGTGTTCTGGACAGCCGCGGCGAAAAGACCGACGCTTCCGGTCAGCGCGGTGGCCTTCATGGCTGCCGAAATGGCATCCTTGGGGTGGTAGCTGTGCTCTTCGTCGTGGTGCGCCATGATGTGTGTGTGATAGCAGGGATGGACTGCTTGCGGTATGAGATGTGGTTGGCGATAGGATTTTGGAGTCAGCTTTCTGCCCGGCCTGACCGCCACCGCCCGCCATTCCAAGAAGCTCTAGATGATCATGTTGATGCTTCTTTCACATCGAACCCTTTGTTTCATTTGCTTTAATCGAGAATCCTCTTAGACACTCCTTGCTGTTTGCTAAGAGGGGATCTTGATCTTAAAACTGTCCATTCTGTGGAGGTGATAGTTCCAAAGCTTGCCGCTGCTTGCTGCCAAGTGCAGTGGGCTCCCCGCTGTCTCTCCGCATACAGTGGCGATTTCATCATTTGACAACATTGTCATCACAGCTGAGCTGCTATATTGCGCGCTTTTGTGAGCCTCGATGAGAATCAAGCCTTTAGGAGAACCAACTCTCCCATAGCATCAAGACGAAGATCGAAACTGTGTGAGGCCTCCAGGCCCAAACACCGTATTTCATGGCGTCTGCACAGAAGGCCGGTAAGGCAATAACCTAGATCAGCAAATTCAGGATATAATTTGAGCAAATGCTTACACCGTTTTTTATCAATCATATAGGAAAGACCGCGCCACGCCTCATTCATGATGTCCAGCTGTATGATCCAGAACACGACCCAGACACAGGCCGTAATCTCCTCTCAGAAACTCCGCCCATTTACCCACAAGGCTACCATGGCCCACCTGGATTCATATCACCGGAAGCATGTCGACACCAGTATGTCTTGAAAGAAGACCAATCCTTCATGTCAGAGCCAGAGCACCGGAGACGGCCAGGCACATCATCCAAGGTCTCAGCCATATGCACAACGTGCCGTTATCATCTTCAAATGGTGGTTAACTATACCGCCCACACGAGCACATTTGGTCAGAACCAGGGGAAGCACATCCATCATTTGGTCTACAAATCAGGACGACAGAAGAATGGCCTTGCGTTGCCCGAAGAGACTCCCAAAGGGCAGCTTGCAGAGACATACCATTACCAATGTTCCTACACCTCATGTTCGGCTATGGTATCTTTGCGGATTCTTTCACCGATTTTGAGCCCGGAATTCATGCACTTGATGACCGATAAAGACTTGTTGCGAAAACGAGCCGAAGAGGCCACTGCAGCGTATCCTGAGTCCATGGAAGGCATGGGTGATCCGCAACCGGTCAATGTATTGGATAATCTGCGCCTGTACATTACCAACGCCCTACGAAATCCACAGCGCAGCAAGCCCATCTCCTCCGTCAATAAGAGGTTCATGCACTCTTTCGGCGTGGAAGGTGCTGCTTGTAAAGAATTACTTGAATTTCTAGAGTTCATGTACAATAAGGTTCGTAATAATGATATTGCTTTCCCAAATCGTCTACAAATCTTGTTTTGTCTCCCGGGCTTGTTGTGTCGCTGACGAATCGACTCAGGATACTGGGGCATGGCACCCGCCTAAACCGACAGCTGACGCCGAGAAACCTTACCATGACACAATGCGTCTCTTCCTCGACGACGTGATGCATGAATTGTTAATCCTGGTATATCTCCGACCTGCTTCAGAAAGGATAGGGTCTCAGATTCCTGGCCTTCCTCGCTCCGCCATCCCCGTTCTTTTCTCTGCTCTAGAAGCGCAAGACTGTTCGTACACTGCGACCCTTGGCTCTAGGAATACAAACTGATTTCAGCCCCAGATCCGACAGCTTTGCGTTACAAAGAATTTGAGATGGCCCATGCCCCGTTTGTGCACCCTATCCTTGAATTGATAAAAACTGGATCTAACAGCTACTTCTTTAGTTTCTATGAGGACCTGGGGGTGATGGAGGATATGTCCTCATTTGCTGTCATCGAAGCATACAATCGACAGATCTTGGCCGACCCTGATAGAACCCCGGTATACTTGTCTGCTCTAAAGGCTATCGGCTTTCTGCGTGGTGGTGAAGACCAGGCAACCATCGACATAGCTGTTCAGGCAGCTTATGAACAAGGAAAGTATGCTGTTGAGGACATTATCAGCGCGTACCAGTACTTTAATCTTCACTTCGATGATCCAAACCTCACTGAGGATAGCATCATTGGCAAATTCTATGCCTTTCTCAGCTCTACAACCCAAGATACCGAAGCGCGTCAGCAATTGTGGCGGATTGGCGACTCCAGGGGAAGTGGGCGCATCAAAGCGGCGTCAGAAGACCGTGTGTTGATCCAGACATGTTGTCTCCAAACTCGAATGTATGCTAATTTTGACAACAGGTGTTTCCACTGTCGAACAAGCAAATGTCTTCTTGGGGGTCGAGGATAACACCCCGGATGATTTTGTCATGACCATGTATACTGCAAAGGTTTGTTTCCCGAGTGCTTCATTGGTGGTTAGACGCGAGCTAACATTGTTATCGATTAGGTCAATGACAATCCACTTACCCAAGAACTGGCAAAACGCGCTGTGGCACTCATTGCCGAGTCCCGCAAATCGGTCGCGTTGCAGCATTTCATCGATACGGGAGAGATGATTGCTGGTGAAATGGACATTGGTGATGCCTATCGTCTACTCCAAATCCCTGATCGAACTGCCGACGATGGGGCAATCATAGCCGCATACACAATCTGCATCGATGAAAACCCAGGGGATGCCGAAAGATACAACCAGGCTCTGACAATCATTGCCAAACAACTGGACAGCTCTACGTTAAGGAATATGGCAGGTATCTCCAACGAGCCTGATAGAAGCATGCACGATTGGCCAGTCGGACTACAAAACATCGGCAATACATGCTATCTCAACAGCCTGTTGCAGTTCTATTTCTCTGTTCGTCCTTTCCGTGAGTTGGTCCTGGATTTCGAACGCTTCCAGATGGATCTTAATGACGAGGAAACCCTCGCAAAGAAACAAGTGGGCTCCCGGAAGGTGACGAAGAAAGAGGTCGAGCGATCTCAGCGATGTAAGTTACTTTGTCGGTGCCGATGGCCATATCTCTCGAACTGACCCTTTCCTTTGCAGTCCTCAATGAGCTCCGGACTTTGTTCCGTAGCATGATCACTTCATCCCAAATTTCGGTTACTCCCGGCCAAGAACTTGCTCGGTTGACCCTGATTAGCCCAAGCAATGAGGCGGCAATACGTCGTCGGTCCACGATCACTGCTACTAGGTCCGAGATTCTTGGTGACATCAACGGTGCTCCTGTTCTGGGGCCCCTCGGGCCTCCACAGTCCCTTCTCGGGGGTCGGATGGAGCCGGTTTCATCTTCTGGCCAAGCTGATCCCGTACCTATTCAAAACTCGACCGGCAGCGATCATGGCAGCGATGCAACATTGGTCTCGGATGATAGCATGAACGATGCACCTGGACTCTTTGTTGAGGACAAGGAGAACAATCCCCCGGACATGGATCAGCTATCCGACCAAGCAGAGGCAGGATCTGATCAGGAGATGAATATCGACCCAGACGGCAGTGTATCGGCTAACCTGCCACCGCCCGTCCCTCCTCGCAACCCCCCGCAAGTTGATCGGGAAAAGCAATTGAGGGAGGAGGTAGAGATTGGTGCCCAGCAGGATGTGACAGAAGTCATCAACAATGTTCTGTTCCAGAGCCAGTGCGCCATCAAGCCTCGGGGCATTGGCAGTGACGGTGAACAGCTTGACCAGATCAAAGAGTAAGTTATGAACAATCGGCCGCTAAAAGTACCTGTGTTAACCTTTCATCAGCTTATTCTACGGCCAAACCCGGTCTTACATTTCCACCGAGAAAGGCACACGTTCGAAGGATGAACGGTGGTGTGACATCAAGGTTGATGTTGCTCATGGATCTCGAAACATCTACGAAGCCATCGATGGGGCATTTGATATCCAAAAGATTAGTGTGGACAACTCTGTGGCCGAACAATTTGCTTCCATCAGCCAGCTTCCGCCTGTTCTTCAGATCCAGGTGCAACGGGTTCAGTTTGATCCTGTGAAGAAATGCTCGTTCAAATCTACAAACCACCTCAAATTGCTTGAAACTATCTACATGGATCGATACATGGACACCAAGAACCCGGATGTTGTGGATCGACGAAATCAATGTTGGGAGTGGAAGGCATCTCTGAAAATGCTTGAGGCTCGCCGAGAAGAGCTTCTCAGGAGAAAGGTATCGAGTATTCTCTGTCCATGTGCCCCAGATCTATATAACTAATCTTTTTCTTCTCTACAGGACGGTGCTGGCGTCGACATGGCAACACTGTTCCGTAGAGTCAAAACTGCACTGCAAGATGTGGATTCCATTGAAAACGACATTGAGACCGAAGCCGGAGTCGGATCTGATCCCATGAATGCTGTGGCTAGTACAGAATTATTAGACGAACTTGAGAGCCTTGCCCATAAGGCAGAGAACGACCTGCAAGGTAGGAGCTCTGGCATTACGACTTCGCTTGAAACAGGTATACTGACTCCTTATAGCTATCGACCAAGAAATCAAGGATACGCAGACCATGATTTCTAGCCAATTCGCCGATTTCCATAACCTCCCATATCAACTGTACGCCGTTTTCGTGCATCATGGGTCGGTATCATTCGGCCATTACTACATCTACATTTTCGACTTCGACAAGAAGATATGGCGTAAATACAATGACGAGTACGTCACCGAGGTCCAGAACGTGGATGAGATCTTCAAGAACGACTCGACCAGCAACCCCCCGACCCCGTATTTCCTCGTTTATGTCAACGATAGCATGAAAGACCGTCTGGCAAACCCGGTTTGCCGTGAGGTATCCGACAACATGACCGACCTTCCTGGTCTTGAACTGGCCACCACCATGGAGGGTATTCAGCCCACCAGCCCTGGGACGGACGTGAATATGGAACCTCCAAGTTATGAGGAAGCTTTGGCCATCAATGGAACTCCAGGTACGGGAAACACAGAATATACCGACGCGGAGACCACAACATGGCCCCGTCCTCGTCCTGCGACTGACTCGGAGCAATATTGGTAGATTCCAATGCCACGCCTGTCGATGCGGCAGCTGTCAACCCCCTAAAACGCAAGAGTGTTGACGCTGAAGTGAAACCAATCCGTCCGACTTAATTTCTTACTTTATGGCACCCACCTGGACAGCATGATAACATGATTGCATGATTTCTCGATTCTCTTATGTCTGCACGTGGATATTACTGCATTGCGAGGTGCGAAATATTTTTGTTATCCAGCATGTACATAGCTGAAGATACCATTGAGTACTTGTAGAGTAAGATAACAATTCATCTCTTCTCTATGACATCGTTACTTTACCCCGGATGAACATATCAGATGATCTCAGCTATAGGAAGATGACTCAGCACTGCCGATTCCCCACTTGGGTAAGCCGCGGGATCGGATACGGATCGGCTGTGGATTTCGGCAGCGGCAAGAAGAGATGTCACAACTGTCTAGGGGGATTCTGAAGGTAATAGTTAGCAAAAAAAGAGTATGAATAAATGGAGAATTTGATACTATTTGGTCTGGAGTCGTTTCTAATAGTCAATCGGTTAAGTGTAACGAAATCAGGGCAGTTCATAGTAAGTGGAAATAGCCGGGAATCCACATTTCCGGGGAAAACGAATATCACTCGGGAATGATTCCGCTCTCACTGCCGCTCGGGAATATAAGAAGTGGCTATTGCCGCTGCCACAGGGCGTTTGTTCGATCTTTTTATAACTTGCTGTGTACTCGGGACATTTTGGCACTGTTCTTTTTGAATCTCAATTAGAAGTCATCAGCTATGCCTTCTCAAGTGGCAACATGTCTGCGCTTCGCGCGTCAGTTCTCAGCCAACCCTGTTCAGGTAAGTGATTTGCCAATGGCTCATATCGCTCATATCGCTTTTTGGGTCGCGGAGACTGACATGTCTTACCACGTATCAGCACCAACGTTTTATGGCCCGCGCATTCTCCAGCAGTGTCCGCCGAAATGAGATCAACAAGGTGTACCCCTCCGCTGAGGAAGCAGTCCGGGACATGAAGTCCAACTCGACTCTGCTCGCTGGTGGATTCGGGCTATCTGGTGTACCTGACTCCCTGATTAACGCCGTCCTGTCGAACCCCTCTATCACTGGCCTGACCGTGGCCAGTAACAACGCCGGTGTGGACGGAGCCGGTCTCGGTCTGCTCCTCAAGTCCAAGCAGATCAAGAAGATGATTGCTTCCTACGTCGGCGAGAACAAGACCTTCGAGCGCATGTACCTAACTGGTGAGATCGAGTTGGAACTCACTCCTCAGGGAACTCTCGCTGAGCGGTGCCGTTCCGGTGGTGCGGGTATCCCCGCGTTCTACACCCCCGCCGCCTTCGGTACCGTGGTGCAGACCGGTGCGGTGCCTCTGCGACACAATGCCGACGGCACAGTTGCATTGTTCAGCCAGCCGCGCGACACCAAGGTGTTTGACGGCAAGAGCTACGTCATGGAGGAGTCTATCAAGGGTGACTACGCCTTCGTCAAGGCCTGGAAGGCCGACAAGCTTGGTAACTGCCAGTTCCGCTACGCGGCCGCCAACTTCAACGGCGCTATGGGCCGTAACGCCAAGATGACCATTGTTGAGGCTGAGCACATCGTCGAGCCGGGCGAGATCGATCCCGCTGCTGTCCACCTGCCCGGTATCTACGTCAAGCGTGTCATCCAGAGCACCGCCCCTAAGCAGATCGAGAAATTCACCTTCGCCAAGGAGGAGGGCGCTGACACCTCTGCTCTCGGCAAGGGTGAGACCGCCAACAAGCGCGAGCGTATCGTCCGCCGTGCCGCTAAGGAGTTCAAGAACGGCATGTACGCCAACCTCGGTATTGGTATGCCCATGCTTGCTCCCAGCTTCGTCGACCCCTCCGTCGAGGTGACCCTGCAGTCTGAGAACGGTATTCTCGGTCTCGGCCCTTACCCCAAGAAGGGCGAGGAGGACGCTGATCTCATCAACGCTGGCAAGGAGACTGTCACTCTCAAGCCCGGTGCCAGCTGCTTCGGCAGTGACGAGTCCTTTGGCATGATCCGCTCCGGCCGTATTGACCTGACCATCCTGGGTGCCATGCAGGTCAGCGCCAAGGGTGACTTGGCCAACTGTACGTTTTTGCACGCTTCCTCTGTTTGATGCACATAACTAACATTCTCTCGCAGGGATGCTCCCCGGTAAGATTAAGGGCTTCGGCGGTGCCATGGACTTGGTCTCCAACCCCTCAGCCACCAAGGTCGTCGTGACCATGGAACACACCGACAAGAAGGGCAACGCCAAGATTGTCAAGAACTGCGAGTTCCCTCTGACCGGTCCTGCCTGCGTCAGCCGTATCATCACCGACCTCTGCGTCTTCGACGTTGACTTCTCCCACGGCCTGACTCTTATTGAGATCGCCGACGGTGTCACCGTCGAGGAGGTCAAGGCTAAGACCGACGCCCCCTTCAAGGTCGCCGATGACCTGAAGCCCATGCTGTAAATTTGCATGCAGACTGTATATTTCTTCAAGCGTTTTGTATATAGCAATTAGGAGTTAGATTGTTTAAAATTTCATTCCCATGGGTATATCCTGTATATGCATCAAGAAGAACATTGTTCTGAATCAATTTCGTACGGTAGAAAATATAGTAGGTATACAATAAACAAAAAAAGAAAAAAGAAAAAGGTATTGGTACATGTCATGCAACCCATCAAATAAAACCCCCATAATGCTCAGCCAAACCCAACGAAACAATGATGAATCAAATTTTTCCCAAGTTTTTCAACGTCAAAAATAAAAGTCTATACATATAGCAAGAACAGAAGCATCACGTCAAACGGATGATACCGGCCATCCTCTTCTTTAAGCGGCCAAACCAATCGCGGTCCGGCGCCTCCGCAAACTCACGTACGACATTGTCATAATGGTCTGGGTTACTGGCCGGCCGGCGCAGCTTTTCCGGCATGGGATATTTGCGCGCGTAGCGGTTGTTTAGCAGCGATTCAAGTGCATTCACAGAGGACTCGGAGATTGCTGGGCTGGACTTGTCTGCCGGCTGGAGACGGGATTCAATGTATGATTGGACGGAGACCGAGGCCGGGCGGACTGCATCTGAGGGCCAGTGCTTGAGAAGGTGCGTGAGGCGGGTTTGGAGGGAGCGCGGGTTAAGGGCCTAAATAGTTTGTAAGGATATTGTTTGGGATTGAGCGTCGGGGCTTGTCGATGGTGTTGCTTGGGATCATTGCAATGCTGGGTTAGACACTTACAGGTGCTTTAGCCATGGTGGGCAAGAAATATCACAAGATAATTGTGGTATAGGGGAAGGATATCTTCAACGGAGATCTTTTGAAAGAGGCAAAGACGGGAACAGTCTATTTTGGCCTGGCGCATCAGGCATCCACAGCCACATCCATTCCTGTTGCCTTCTCATCAACCCCGACATTTTCCCATCCCCTTGTACTCTTGTTAATATCATTTTTGCATTTCAACCTAAGTCGTTTCTGTCTCATTTTACTTTCTGATTCTAATCAGGGTCGCTTCCCGCTCAGCTCGCCATGAGCTCGCAGCGCTATTCACGGGTACGCAATCCCCTCCGCTGATCCCCTATCAGAACAACCCCCGGATGGGACCCCACGGCAAAATACTGACCTTGATTTGTCTAGGTAAACGCCCAAGATGAAGAGGAAGGGCCACATTCCTATCCGCTGAACACGCGACCTGAACATAACAACTCTTCACCTTCTTCTTTCCGTTCCGGATCCCGCTCGTCGTCACCATCATCGAGGCGGCTATTACACCACGATCCGCAACATAACGATGATGACCAGACACTGGCCGATGCCTTCGGCGACGAAGACGAGTCCGACGATGATAATGAGCCAGATGACAGGCAGCGCTTGATGCGAGCTGACCCCGACTTCCGGGCTCCCCCGGATAACGGCCATACCACCGCGGCGTCCTCATCGGAGTCGATGGGCGCTGCACAGGACCCGACTCAATCAGCGCTTCTCAGGCGGCCCACAATGTTACCAACTTTTACGACACCGTCTTCTGGAGGGAGTCGGCAGATCGCCTCATCGAACGATGGAGTGTTTGCCAATCTTGCCGCCAAGCCAGAACGGGGTGAGAAGAACGAGGATCTTCCTCCTGTAAGTCGATAATTGGTATTTTCTGATATTGAAATATTTGTATACTGATATGTTATCTAGTCATACGAAGAAGCCGCCGCAGATGCGACTCCCCCATACTGGGAGACCACGATTGTGGCTCCTGGTATCTCGTCCGACGAGGTCTATGTCGATGGACTGCCTGTTGGATCTGTTTTCTCATTTGTCTGGAACGCCATGATCTCAATGTCATTCCAGCTTGTTGGCTTCTTGCTGACCTATCTCCTTCACACCACCCATGCCGCAAAGAATGGCAGCCGAGCGGGTCTCGGTCTTACTCTTGTTCAATACGGCTTCTACATGAAAGGCGGCAGCGATAGTTCGGGCTCCGAGGGCGGAGGCACAGAATATGTACCTCCACCTGACCCCAACAGCCACAACTTCGACCCGAACACGGTTGGTGAAAGCGCGGGCAGTGGAGGGAACGGCGCCATATCTGGGATCAGCACCAGTGAATGGATTTCATATATTCTAATGATTGTTGGTTGGTTCATTCTGATCCGTGCGGTCAGTGACTTCCTGCGGGCACGACGTCATGAACAGCTTGTGTTGCAGAGTCCGGATCGCGGTCTGGGTGTACCAGTCATTGCAGAAGGTGAACGGTCCGAGACTGTTGTCTAATATCGGTATACATGGGTTTTTTTGGACGTGGAAATGGACATGGAAATGTCAGGCGTTGCAGCATGGAGTTTCTTTTGTATCGACACCCCCCAGGAGTACTGCCTCCGGATTGCATTCATTCAATTCTTTTTTCTTCCTTCTTTATCAGACCATTCTACTTTTATTTCCGACCGTATAGCTATTCTGAAGATACCAAATATATGAACAATGAACAATAGCAGTTGGAATATTTACTGTAGCTCAATAGCCTAGGTCGAGTCTTCCAAAATGCCGCTAACCACTTCAGCAGCTTCTGTAACCACAACCCTAGTTTCCTCGTCCAAGATTCCCTCTGTGCTTAAAGCCCGCAGCCTCTCCTCCCACAATCGCCAACGCTCTCGCGTCAACCCATCCTCTCTCGGCCACAGTTCCGTCTGATAATCTAACGCCGCCGCCCAGTGCCACCGCAGCTCATCATAGTCCGTCTCCCATAGTGACCGGCCTCCATCCCGCATCCAGACCGCTGCTACCCGGACATCCAACGCCCACACCTGCTCCGACGACACCCTATGCGCTTTTGGTTGGCGGGGCTGGGGTCCCTCGCACTCTAGCACGTCACGGCACGCATAGAAAACCCATATAGGATGCACCTCACCTTTACCTTTAGTCGCTTTCAGCAGCGCAGCCGAGAAGACACAGAAGCGGAGAAAGTACTCATCGCCGCTATTACTTGACGCACTAACAGTGGAGTTATCTCCCGCACCCGAACGCACACCGTCCCAGTCGCGCCAGGCCTCGAGAATATCGTGCACGTCGTGCCACTGCGCGCCGAACAGCGGCAGTGTCTGCCAGTGTAGCTTTCCGTCGGCCCCGGTGTAGCTGCCTAGGCTGGACCTTGCGCGTAGGTTAAGCTGCGCTGGAGGCTGCGCGTGGAGGGTGTCGATGATGGCGAGGAGAGAGTCGTGTGACGTTGGAGAGGCGACAACAGCCGTAAAAAAGGCGTCCCAGAGCTCCCAGAGCGCGTGGGCGGGGTCGGACGACGTAGTCACAGAGTTGACAAGTTGGGCAGCTGTTTCGGCTGGCGTTGGCACTGATGAAAGGTTGCTAGTTGTTAGAAAGGCTTGGATTGGCTTGGAGAAGGGATTTGGGCGGTTGGTGCCCGGGACATCTAAAATAGTCGTCATTTTGAAGGTGTAAGTTGGTTGGAATGGTGGAAACGGTGCTGATCATTGGTGCATTTTGTCTCAGTGATGTCTGTTGGTGTTTGGCGACCATTTCTGGCCCCAACAGAGGTAATATCTGGCGTCAATTCCATTGATGTCAAATTCTATATAGGTAGTTGTACTCCGTACTCCGTTCCAACCGTAACGAGACCCGAGGTGCCCGCATACGCGTACTGCGCCACGATAGGCAGCATTCTATACCCTTGTTCCATACCCTTGCTTTCCTTTGTTTTTCGCCTGTGCAACTTCACTGAAGAATATAAGAAAAGCAGAAAACAGAAATAGATCAGGTCCCCTCTGCTTTTCCGGCGGAATGACCAACTCCGCCTACTGCCGAGAGACCCATTGTTTATTTGCCAACTCAACCTAAGCTCTGTCTTCAATATTGAACTTGCGTTTCTTGTCGGGGTGGATCGCGGCCTTGTCCGCAATGTCTACCGTCCCTCAGGGCCCCATCGAGGCACGATCACTGTCGTCGGTCACCGCTATCGCATCAAATCCCCCCGCCTACCCACGAAATCCAACTCACGAGAAGCATGAACCGCTGTCTCTGTACATTGTGCGTGTACCAGGAAGCAAAGGTATGATTCAATTCCATTGTCTCGACACTCTGACCTCTCTATTTTGATCTTGAATGTCCCATGGTAGCGCCTTATCGTGTTTAAACCAAATGAAGATAAACCATAACTGACTGTTTATATGTACAGACATTTTTCTCTCCCCTCTCAAACCACCCACCAAATCCAGTGTCTCTGCTGAGGCGATCAACGCCTCTCTTTACTATCTCCATGTCGCGACTCCCGACGATGATACCCTGCTCCAGGAAGTGGAGGAAGAGCGTGAAGAGGAGGCCCAATTGCGGAAGGAGCGCCTCGAGAAAGCGGATGCCGGCGACCCAGCACAACGCGAGTTCGCGCGGCTGAATAATGTGCGTCGGAAACCAGTTGGTGGAGGAGACGTGAATTCCGCGCCTTTGCCGGCACCATCTCAACAGGATGCCACTGCTCCTCCGGTCTTACCACCTCAACAGGATGCCACTGCTCCTCCGGTCTTACCACCTCAACAGGATGCTACTGCTCCTCCGGTCTTGCCATCACGCCCAATCCCAATGCTGCAGGATGACACTGCTCCTCCGGCCTTACCACCACGTCCAGTCCCTATGCCGCAGGTTACTGCGGAGAATGTCTCTTTCTCTGGGATTCCAGTCACCAACATACAGCCTCTTTTGAGCAATAATATGCCCGGAGAGATCTCGGTAGAATCGGGTGGTAAAAGCGCTACCCCGCGGCGACCTTTACCTCCCTTGCCGCCTGGTGAAGAGTCATGGACCACTGCAGCAGGCGAGGACCCGTCTAAGAGGACATCCCGATGGAGCGCGTTTGCCGAACATTTGCAAAATCGGGGAGAGAACTGGAAGGAAAAGTATGAGGCTAAGTACGAGGCGCTTTCGGCCGGCCGTCACAGCCTTGACTCACCTAGACCGCAATTTCGGCCTCGTTCCTCGCATGATCGTACCGGATCACCATTAGGAAGCCCCGGGCAGTCTCCCAACCGGTATAGAAACGCACATGGAAAACCTCCTGGCAATGCTGGCTTTCATATCACCCTGATCCGGCGTGACCCCACGTCCGGTACACAATGGAATGTGGCAACTATATCAACCCCACGAATGGACCGCAATGCCGTCGATATCGAGATCTCCACGCCGGGATATAATAGATTTGCAGGCTCCAATGAGATGCCTTCATTATCCAGCCTGGCAGCCAATCTCCCCTTGGGAATCGGACGCCTACCCAATTCTGCCATTCCCCAATCATTACCCACCGATAAACCAAAGGAGCAGCCAACTGGCCCACGCAAATTCCACCGCCAGCTCTGCGTATCAAAGCCATATGACGACTCCGTTGCCACAGATTGCAGCAATGGCCATACCCCAGATGGCCCATCCTCATCCTCCAAGCTGAAAAGCGGCTACTACGTCTTCACTTCTCCCTGGAATGGTACATGTACCTTCACAAATAGCGTGAACGGCCGAAGCCTCAAATGCAAACACATGATCCCAACACCTGGTGGCTTCGTCCCTCCCAATGGCGAAGCAGAAGCACCCCCCGCCGTAACCGTCGCCGAGCTCCGCTTCAATACCCCGTTTCAAGCAGCAAACCTCCACTCCCACGCTCACCACGCAGCCCACAAGCCCCATCCAAACCACCTCTCTCCCTTCACCCAAAGCCAAATCCAGTCTTTCCCCCGCCCAAGCGACAATTCAAACGAAAACAATCTCGGCCCCGACGGAGAACCCCTCCGCCCATCCTCCTCCAGCAACAGCTACACATCCGCAAAGCGCAACTCCCTCTCCAACCTCCTAAACCCAAACACCTACGCCCGGCCACGCGCACACACAGGCCCAGGCGCGCCCCCACCTCTCCCAGCCTCACCCCCCGCCGACCCGCGCCAAAGCTTCCACCCCTCAACCCTCCTCCGCAGAACCTCTCTGCGCGCGCAACGCTTCGCGCGCCAGAGCCAGCTACACCCCGCTGCTCAGTCGCGCTCCCACCGCAGTACTAGTAATAGCAGTGGTGGGGATGTGGATTATGATTCCGATGAGGATCGTTTAGATCTTTCGCTTGCGAGGGAGCCCGCTGGTGGTGGGTTAAGGGGGAAGAGTGCGAAACTGGGGAAGTTGGTTATTGAGGATGAGGGCATTAAAATGCTTGATTTGGTTGTTGCGGCTTGTATGGCTGTTTGGTGGAGGGGATATTACTATTGAGATCAAAAGCCCTGGCTTGCTTTATGAGGCTTGTCTGCTGGCTAGAGTCAGTTAGGTTTGCGATTATATCGTACATGAATGCATGAATTCCATTTTGTTTAATTCTATTCCTTTATCTGGTCCTTGATGATATTTCCATGGCTTGTAATATATTGCCCGTGATCGTTTGTACAGCTAAATCACCTAGTGTCATATACTTCTATGCGTTGCATCTATGTATCTTCCAAGCTACAGTATGGTATCCTACATATAGCTTGGCCTTGGTAATTGCTGGTATAGCAAGGCTGACCTCCTCCGTAGTTTTGCTCCTGCTAGACGATTATGATCTTCACGGTATGCATGTAGTTAGCAGCGTACGATGTCATGCAAGTCTTCTACTCAGACAGCCTGTGGGATAGGGTTGTTGTATTTGCACGGGTTCTAGTGTTGGGAGATACATGTATCACGCTAGCTATAAGCACATATATGTTGCAAAAAAACACGCCTTCCAATTTCCCTAAATTCAATGTTATAGATGTCCAAGTAGATAAAATAGTAAACTCGCAGACAACGTCATTCGAAACCCGGCCGTCGGTTTATCACACGTGATTTCCCAAAAGCGTAGGACCAATTAGATGTCGTTAAAAGACCCACATTAGTAAACCGCCCATAAAGGACCTGTAAGGGAAAAAAAATAGGTTGCTTCTCTTTGATTGAGCGTGTCATCCTTAGTGCAGGGGCCATGCTAATCTTCTCTGTATATTTTCAGTTGACCATATGCCCCGAAGGGCGAAATTTCTATTCGTTCAGTTCGTTATAACTTCACTTTCGGGCAGAATCTGACCGCCTACCATTTTTGGGTGGGGAGGCAGGTACGATACCAGACACGTGGCTTGGCACGTGGACAACTACCGAGTTGAGATATGGCTTTGCTTACAACAACAAGGGCTATGGGTAAAAGTATAAGGCATCTGGATTCTGGTAACTCAAAACTTGGGGTTAGGGCTGGAGTTGAGACCTGATCTTGATAAGAAATCTGGTTATTCGCTCGCTCGTGATACGGCCTGATCCTCATAGAAAGCGAGAGTACTAGTAATTGTGTATATTTGAGCTACGTTGTTTTGAATGAATCATCCATGGCAGACACCTCATGAGGGAGACGTAATTGACAATCTATCTAATGGTGAACCTACTTGAAAGATATGCAATGCAGAGAGTAATGCCATAGCCAGACATAAATATCATATCCAACCAGGAACCGCGACCAATATAGCTTTGGAAATGAAAGGATTCAGACATGAACATAAAGGTCACATAAAATGATGGGAAACGCAGACACAAATCCAAGCCTATGAAATCGGGCGAGAGCGCAGACAGAACCACAAAGATGAGAAAGTCGTGTTCGAGATTGCAGTTAAAAATGGAAATTGAAAAGTGAAAGAAACCCCATATAAATCGTCCCAGTCTTTTTTGTTTCTCTGAAGGTATCTCTTGGCTAAATTAGATCAACATGCAGGGCGCGATAGAAGACACGGATTCAACACGCCGAACAACCAAGACGAGAAAAAAGCAGAAAGAAAAAAAAAAAAAGGTATCAACGGTGATGCACGTCCATGCCGCGCTGCAGCGAGGATTCCAAGTCATTAGGGTTGTAACCACCGCCAGCGGTAGCCTCCTGAGGTCTAGGATCCTCAGTCTTCCAAGGACCCTGGTGGTTATCCGGGATGGGGATGTTAGTCTGCTGAGCGATCTGCTGCTGCTGGGCGGATTGGGCCTGCGATTGCTGGCGGACGGTAGCCCGGAAGCGGATGACTTCGTCAAGGATCATCTTGCGCATGTCGGGGACTTCCTCGACGACCTCGAAGTGGAAGTCGAAGGTTGTGGGGCAGTTGGGCTCGTCCGAGGCGTCGTGCCAGATGTGCAGGTAGGGGTGCTCGAGGGCCTCCTCGACAGAGATACGAGACGACGGATCGAACGCCAGCATGCGGTCTAGCAGGTCTAACGCATCGGGGTTGGCTTGCGGGAATAGCTGCTTGAAGGCTACCTTGGGCATGAAGGGTAGGTTGCGCACGTACTCCTGGGCGCGGGGTGATCCAATACGCGCCAGGGTCTCTTCGTTGGGTGTACCCAGGTAGTGCAGGATCTGATTCAGCTGGTCGACATAATCACGGCCCTTGAAGAAGGGTCGGCCGCCAAGGAGCTCGGCGAGAATGCAGCCCACGGACCAGACGTCAACTGCATGTGGGGTTAGTGGGTATTCGGTCGCAAAAATTACGCAGGGTGTTACGTACTCGCTTTGGTATAGCTCTGGAAGCTCAACATGATCTCCGGTGCACGGTACCATCTCGTCGCGACATATTCGGTCATGTATCCTGCATTCTCCTCCGGGTCGATCGAGAAACCACGGGCCAGGCCGAAATCGCAGATCTTGAGCTCGCAGTCGGCATTGACCAGCAGATTACCGGGTTTGAGATCACGGTGCAGGACATTGGCGGAGTGGATGTACTTGAGACCACAGAGGATCTGGTAGATGAAGGATTGGAAGTGGGCGTCGGTCAAAGGCTGGCCGGAGCGAATGATAGCAGCCAGATCACATTCCATCAATTCTGCAGGATTGTTAGTCCAGCTCTATCCGAGGCAAAGCGGCCAACCACCTACCCTCATAGAGATATGTTTCGTTAAAGTTGTCCGGTCGGGGAATATCCATATCGTACAGGCATGTGATCTGGAAGGCTTGAGTTAGCGGGGACAGGTATTAATAAGGATGTGTTGCCTACATTGCGATGGCCACGGAAATGCTGCAGCAGCTTGATCTCTCGCAAAGCCCGCTTAGCCAGGATCTTCTTGCTGAAGACATTGGTGACCTTCTTGACGGCGACACCCTCGCCGGTCTGGATGTTGGTTGCAGCGCTTTGGTACTATCAGCACATGTGTCCAGTGTTCACGCGCTGAGGTCTGGAATGGTACCTACCACACGATACCGTAGGCTCCCTGACCAAGCTCCTTTGTCACATTGTATTGCTCGCTCACGATAAAGTCCTGGTTGAAAACCTTGAAGACCTTGCGGCCCTGTAAATCAGACATGGCCACTGTAATTGTAAAAGCGAAAGTTGAGAAAGTGCAGGTTCAGAAGAAGAGAGAAGAGAAAGGGGAAAGTCGAGATGTGATGGGATTCAAAGAGCCCCGCAGTCCCCGCGGGTGATCCGCCACGCTTGTCGAAATTTAGAAATGAAAGAAAATCTCCTTGGAAGTTTTATGTTAGAGACATAGAGATATATATATATATATATATATAGAAACGTTTGAAGATATATATTGTTTTGAATCGAAAGAAACTCGAAACTCGAGACTCAAGACAAAAAGAAAAATATGTTTCAGTGGGATGCCTAATACTCCGTACAGCGCTTATGACTATATTTCCGATCACATACATTCTGCATGTACTCTAATAAGAAGAGTCGATTTTTCTATTAGCTTACATAGGCTTGTCATTGGTCGTATCAAACATTTTGTTTCTTTTATTTCCATTTACGTGTTCTCCTTACAGTTCAACTTGGACTCGTCTCGGCGCACCCTAATATATACGCTCAAGCACAATCAGAATATCTCGGAACTAGATTGTCACTACGGACTTTCAAACTCTTAGTTTAAAGCTAGCCAAGGAATAAATCATTTGAAAGAAACAGTTGCATTAGTAGATGTGTATTTAGGCGCAGAGTGACAAATCTCATCCAAACCCATCTCACGAGACCCTTCGTTTTTTTTTATTTAACCTCATTGAATCGAAGAAATCTTCTAATGTTCGCTGCCTCTTCGATCCCAGCTTGGAGGCCAGCTTCTCAACTCCCAATCGCTTGTTGGATGCCAGGTAGTGGTTTTTTACCGACCAGATGCTCGCCCATGCCATGCTACAACCTGGGTCTGGGAATGTCCACTTGCCGTCCACAAAGGACGGCTTCGGGAGCTTGGCCCATCCAGGTATGGTCTTCCCCTCCACGTCCTTCAGAGGGTCATCTGGCGTTGTAGGCCATGCCGGAAAAAACGGCTCATCCGGCTCAGCTTTGCCGTGTTTCACCAGAGAATGTGTTCTCGCGTAGCTATCAGCTTGGAACATTCTAGAGCATTTTTCCTCCCGCGCGCGTGAGTAGGGACGGTCTTTATGAATTTGCTTCTGAGTCGACTTATCACGGTGAGCTTTCTTTGCGTGACGGTTGGCATTGCATTTGTTATTGAATTGCGCTGTGCATTTCTCCTTTTCTGCTGAGGGACAGGGCCATGAGATTCCAGTGTGCTTATTCTGAGCATGCCGATTTGCGTTTTGTTGTGTGGCATATGTCTTGTCACAATTGAGTGGGCAAGGAAAGCCTTCCTTCGGAGGGTTATCTGAATCCTTCTTAGCATGAAACCTCAGTGCTTGCTTTGCGGCCGAATCTTTGGTCGAGAACTTTAGGGGGCATCCTTTGTTTTCTGCGGAGGGACAAGGCCATTTGTTTTCGCCGTGCACATCTCTCGCGTGCTTGTGTGCACTTGAGTTGGACATAAAAGTCTTGTGACAATCTTCCTCCTTTGCGAGCGGGCACCTGATGTCCCCCTTCTCCATGGATACGTTGGTGAGGTTGAGAGAGAGGAAGGTGTCGAGACCTCAGCAGAGCGAGCAGCAGGATGAGAGCAAACTGAGGGCAAGATGAGGACAAGTTGATATGCAAGCGGTTTGAACTGAAAGTCCGATGAAAGACGGGGAGAGGAGTGGCATCGTTTTGGTGCCATCATGAAACTCTTTGCTCACAACTGTCCCATCGCAATTGTTTAGGTGAACAGCAAGTTCCCATGGGGCTTTTTGCCTATTACATGCACTGTTTCAATTATGCTTAAAGACATTTTTGCTCAGCATTTTGGCGTTATATCATTCCATCCTAGCCCACACAAACTGGCCTCATGCTGGAATGGTTTCTTATAAGTCCGTAGGCTCGCAAATCACCCTGATCTAATAAAGATTACATGGAAATGAATCGGAAGGTAACCAAGATGTGTAGAGAGAAAACAGAATGCAGTACCCCAGCTCCTCGTCTCAACAGAAGGCGTAATGTGCAGGTGATATAAAAGCTACCTGGGTTGAATGAAGCCAAAATACGCAAAGTCGAACCTCACGAAGCACGACCACAACTAATAAAGCTGAAGACTCCTAACGGAAGGACAGAAATGACGAAGAGAAGCGATGCTATAAGTGTGGAAAACCAGGACACTTTGCGAAAGTATGCTGCACCTTCCGGCAAACCCAACAGATGAGGCTATGGTAGATGGAGATAGCACGGCTCCTAGGAAAGCTCCACTAAGAACTAGTGAATAAATCCTAAAACGCGGAAAGCGGGGATCTAGGAACTACAGTGTTCCTAAGAAGACTGCAAGGTCCTAGAAACCCCAGAGCTCCTAGAAATTCCTTAGGGGTTTGGAACAACGAAGATACCTGGGTCGCACGTATACATAGAAGTAGACAGCATCTTCAAGATAAATTACCAATAGTCGATAAAGCTGTAGTGGAGTTAAACTTCAAGACGCAGTAGAGGAAGCGAAAGAACAGCAGCCTCCTCGCGTTCAAGAAAACCTAGATATACACTATGTAGGTCTCTCTTTTATGTTCCGCTCGTGGCAGCCAGTACGCTTCATGTATTTTCCTAACAATACTGCTGTAACCATCAAAGTTGGCCCCTTTTAAAAAAGACTTATTCGGGCGATCGAAGGGAACCTACCTGTCAGGAGAGGTCCACGGAGATGTCTAGGTGCATGGTGCATGGTGCATGTGAGATGAGGTTGCTGAATACCTAGGTAGTTGGAGCAGCCAATTTACAGACCAAAAGGTTTGACAGATCTTCTTGGTCCTATCGTGCCAAAGCACTACACACGAGAGTAGATATCAGTAGTAGATGATGAAACTGAGAGAGCTATACTAGCCACGCAATGGGAAATATGATTGTCTCGGGCCTAAGACATGGGACAAAACATGTGAACAAATCTTTAAACTCCCTTTCTATGAACTTGAATCTAGAAATTGTCCGCTATATGAAGTTAAATTGTGATAAAAACTTGGGCTATTTAGGGTGGGAAGTAGTAGGGCTAACAATACTGCTGATCCTAGGGAACAAAGTGGCAGAAATCTGGAAAAGGTTGGAGAATCAAGGTAGAGAAAGTAGTTTTAACAAAACCTCTCCCCGCTTTCTTTTCTACCTACCTATAAAACCGGGAAGAAGGAGAAGATATCATAAAGACCACTAAATAGAATACCTGAAAAGACCACTGAAAAGACCACTGAAAAGACCACTGAAAAGACCACTGAAAAGACATCACAAGACCGCATCAGCGTCCAACTATTATTATTCTTGTTTTCTAATAGGGGGGTCATGAAGTAGGCTAAACTTCGAATAGACACTCCCGTTAATAGGAAGATGTCGATATACCCAAGATCTGTGTTCGCTCTTAAGGGTACCGCATTACGCTTTTGGAACCCAACCACTGATTACTCTACTACATTAAAGTATGTACGGCGTATATTTAAAAGAATCAGTAGAATATCCGCATGTAACTTCATTTCACTTTTCATAAATCGGGAACGAATCTACGCCCTACAGGGAATTCTCCAACCGACGCTCCTTGCGCAGTGCCCGGAGCTTGACACGTGCCTCCTCCAGAGGGACCATGATGCCCTTGTTTTGGGTAGCAGGATCATCACGGTTGCGAATGTTGACGGTGCGTGCCTCCTTCTCCTGGGCTCCCACAACAAAGATGAAGTTGTACTGGGCCAATTGGCCGGTACGAATCTTCTTCTGTAGGGTGTTGCCACTGGTGTCCACGTCCGCATTTAGCTTGTCACCCTGCAGGATACGCTGCACCTCCTCGGCGTAGTCGTTCAGAGCCGGCATCACTGGCACAATGAGAACCTGGCGCGGACTAATCCAGAACGGCCACTTGCCACCGAAGTGCTCAATCAAGATGCCTAGGAATCGCTCGAAGCTACCAATGATAGCACGGTGAATGACAACAGGGCGGGCACGGCCGGGGGGCAGCCCGTCGGCCTTGATCTCTCCCTCCTTCACGCCCTCGGTGTTCTTTTCCTGCTTTTCGTTGGTCTGATACTCCAGCTTGAAGTTCACCGCGGCCTGGTAGTCCAGTTGGATGGTCGCGCATTGGAATTCACGCTGGAGAGCATCCGCAATGGTGATGTCGATCTTGGGTCCGTAGAAGGCACCGTCACCCTCGTCAATGGTCCAATCATTACCCTTAAACTTGGTCAAGGCCTCCTTAAGCTGGTCCTCGGCGTGGTTCCAGGTCTCCAACGCACCCATATACTTTTCGGGGCGGGTGGACAGCTTCAACTTGAAGGTGAAGCCAAACAGCCCATAGATGGCCTGCAAGAAATCGAACAGACCCTCCACTTCCGACATAATTTGATCGTCGGCGACTAGCAGATGAGCGTCGTCTTGGCAAAACTTTCGTACACGCGTGAGACCACTCAAGGCACCTGAAGCCTCGTTTCGGTGCAGGACACCGAAGTCTGCAAGACGCATAGGAAGCTCGCGGTAACTACGTTCACGATGGCCGAACAGAACGAAGTGTCCAGGGCAGTTCATGGGCTTAAGAGCCCACTCGCGCTTCTCGACATCCAGCTTGAACATATCATCCTTGTAGTGGGCCCAATGACCGGAGGTCTTCCAGATACCAACATCGAACATGTTGGGGGTCTGGACCTCCTGGTAGCCTCGCTTGCGGTATTCAGTACGCAGAAGAGACTGGATCTGGTTCAAGATCCTGGTTCCGTTGGGGAGGAGGAAAGGGCAACCAGGGGACACCTCATCGAAGAAGAACAGCTCTTGCTCCTTGCCAATTCTTAGGTGGTTCCGCTTCTCAGCTTCTTCCAAGAACTTCAAGTGATCAGCCATTAGCTTCTTGTCGGGGAAGGCGACACCACGGATACGCTGCAGAGAGTCGTTGGACTGGTCACCAAGGAAGTAGGCCGATGAGTTCTGGGAGTAAAAGTGAGTATGGGTCTTCCTCAATCAATAGGTTAACCAGCCACGCTTACCTGCATGATCTTGAAGGTCTTGATTTTTCCGGTGTTCTGAATGTGAGGGCCTCGGCAGAGATCGACAAGGGTACCACAACGGTAGACGGTGCTACTCTCGCCGGTGACGAGCTTGTCAATATAGTGCAGCTTGTATTTGCTGTATGCAAACATCTTCTTGAGGTTATCCTTGGAAACCTCCAATCGATCAAAGCTTTGCTTCTCCTTGAAAATGCGCGCCGCCTTAGTCTCAAGTCCCTTCCAGTCAGCCTCCTTGACAACGCGTCTGTTTTTTCACATATTAATATTAGCATTGGCACAATTGTAAATGGCAGGTGATAAGATAACATACCCGTCGGGCATGGCCATATCGTAGAAGAAACCCTGAGGAGTTGGCGGCCCATGAGACAAGTTGCATTGGAAAGCACATTCGCTGAAGCATTGATTAGCAAGATCACACAACCGGGCATTGATAAAAAAACACTTACCATGCTTCACCGAGAGTGTGAGCACTAGAGTGCCAGAATACCTCACGGGCCTCGGGGTTGCTAAAAGGCACAAGAAGCACACTACAATCCTTCTCCAAAGGCCGGTTCAAGTCCCACAACTCTCCATCGACCTTGGCGATAACAATATTGGCGCTGAGATCCTTGGGCACATCACGCAGGAAAGATCCAGGGGTGGTCTCGAAGGCTTTGGCGGGGACCGAGGAGGGAGGGTTGCCGTCGCCAATGTCAAGGGTAACATTGATCTCTGGGTGGGGACGGGTCTTGGTCTCCTCGAGATATTGTTGCCAGAGTTCCTCGAAGAGCTTGTTTCGCTCAATCATGACCTCCGGGAGGGTATCGGGGCTCGGGGCCTGCTTAGATTTCGCATTCGCATCTTTTGGAGGGGCAGCGGCGGCTTCAGAGGCGGTTTTGGCCTGCGCGTCAGCGGCAGGCCGCACAGGAAGATCCTTGGGAGTTTCAGATGCCATTTCTAAACCCCTTGGAGCAATGGTACAAGGGAATTGGACTGCGAGCAAGAACTCTGACCGTGGTATGCTCCGCGTGGAGGGGAAAATGACTCTTATTGAGGGCGGTGAAGCAAAAGTCACGTGTTGGTACTGCCCTTAGCCGACACTTTACCGCTTCAAGTTTCCACCGAGCGAAAACTTCTCCAGCTTTGTACAAGCCGTCAATAACCCTTATCACCACAAAATGTCTTTCCGTGGTCGTGGTAACGCTTCTGGTGCCAACCGGGGAGGTTTCGGTGGTGGCCGTGGTGGTGAGAATTTTCCAATGTGAATGCGATGTTAAAAGGAGCTAACGAAATTTTTTTGTTGCAGGTCGCGGAGGCTTCCAGCAGTCATTCGGCCCCCCAGCCCAGGTTCTGGGTAATTATTCTTCTGAAGTCGACAACGATTGATTCATCTCGCTGATATTCTGATAGAGTTGGGTTCCGTGATGCACTCTTGTGAGGGTGAGATGGTCTGCGAGTCCATCAACCCCAAGATTCCTTACTTCAACGCTCCTATCTACCTGGAGAACAAGGTACGCCACCACTCCACCAAAACCAATATAATCTATAGTCCATGACCTAACTGGTTTTTATAGACTCAAATCGGCAAGGTCGACGAAATCCTCGGTCCCATTAACCAGGTCTACTTCACCGTCAAGCCTCAGGACGGTATTGTCGCCACTTCCTTCAAGGCTGGTGACAAGGTCTACATTGGTGGAGATAAGCTGCTTCCTCTCGAGAAGTACGATTCGCTGTTCTACTCATCCTTCTACGCTCTGACTAACTCACCTCTTAGGTTCCTCCCCAAGCCCAAGCCTCCCCCAGGAGCTGCCAAGCCCAAGCGCGCCGGCGGTGGTGCTCCCCGTGGTCGTGGTGGATTCGGTGCTCCCCGTGGTCGCGGTGGATTCGGTGCCCGTGGTGGTGCTCCCCGTGGCCGTGGTGGCTTCGGCGGTGGTCGTGGTGGTGGTTTCGGTGGTAGCGGTGGTTTCTCCCGCGGCGGCGGCGGTGGCTTCTCTCGTGGAGGTGCTCGCGGCGCTCCCCGTGGCGGTGGTGGCTTCCGCGGTCGCGGATATTGATCGATCCAATGTACTGTCTCTTTATGGCGTTTTGGGGGATCTGGGAGCTTTTTCAGGAATATCTTTCCGTCTTCTTGTGCATCCTGCGCAATTGCAACTTCACTGGCTGCAGGCTGTAGAATATCACCAGTCAAAAATGTTTCTGTTATTTTCATTGGATTTTCCAGAACTTGCAATCGCATATTAAATCATAGCAACTCCTTTAGAAATTCGGGGGAGAATCCTCGGCTCGTTGGACTTTTGGTTGGGATGTGGCTAGTTGGTGTGGCGCAGCTGCACCGCCCCTGCCTGCAGTTTGAAATGACGTTGACCGCCCAGCGAATCTGTGCGTCTTGTCAACACTCCCAAGCAGGATTGACAGCATTCTTATTCTTCTTACCCCTCAATCTTGCCCTTTAGACATCTTATTGAGACAGAGTAGCCTTTTTCCATAAATTTTCTTCGAATCTGATATTCTTTTGAGCATGTCTCGTCGGACATCGACCATGGCATCGAGCGATGCCTCCAACAGCGGTGTCCCACCTTCAGGTGATGGAGGTGCGTTTGAGCTCCCTCCGATCGCCCATGGGCAATAGAGCTCACATATTACAGGCCAGGCGAAGCAGAAAATGCTGCTTTCCGAGGATCATGGGCATTTCAGCATGGTGAAGTCAGTTTTGTGCTTTCCGCGCTCCTTTGCCCTCGGCTCAGCCTAACACTCAATAGGGCCATGCATCTCGCTGATCTGATTACTGAAATGAATGGTAAGAGATCTCAATACCTGGAAGGTTTTGTGTGAATTGACTCACTAACTCTTCATCTTAGGTTTCTGCGGAGGCAAGCTCATATTCCCAACCGTTTTTCCAACATACGACTAATATCTTGAGCAGTCATGTCAGTCTTTTCGTCCATGCGCTACTGTCTTGGAGACCCAACTGAATACGGGGCCATCTGGGCTGCCCTCGCATTTATGCCGTTCGGTCTGTTCTTCGACTTTATGGATGGCAAAGTCGCAAGATGGCGCAAGAAGTCGTCTCTCATGGGACAAGAACTCGACTCGCTAGCGGACTTGGTAAATGATCCCGGGCAGCAAACACAACAAAATTGTCGCTAACACTTTTGTTCCCACTAGATCTCCTTCGGTCTCGCTCCCGCCGCTGCTGCATTCGCTCTTGGTATCCGGACCTCGCTTGATCACGTCTTCCTCACCTTCTTCGTTCTCTGCGGTCTTACCCGCCTCGCTCGGTTCAACGTGACTGTAGCCGTACTCCCTAAGGACCAGACTGGCAAATCCAAGTACTTCGAAGGCACACCTATTCCGACCACTCTGTCAATTGCCTCCCTTATGGCCTACTGGGTCTCTCAAAGCTGGACGCACGAGAACCTCCCTCTTGGTCTTGTCGCAGAAGGTACCATCTTCGAATTCCACCCTGTGGTCCTGCTGTTCGTTCTGCATGGATGCATGATGATCAGCAAGACGATACACATTCCTAAGCCATGAGCTCAACCCAAATTTGGCCGCGCATTTACTGTTGGAAAAAGAATGCCCGAGTCTGTTGTCTCTCTCAACTTGGACAACTGAAAATAAATATCGGGAGGGCCATTGTCTGTAGGCAAGGCATAGCATGATCTCGATGCACTTAAATAAGGATGCTTAATTGAATTTCAATTGCATAGATTGACTTTAGTTATTGTGGCTTTTGCATAGGAGTTGGATTGCATGATTGTGACCAGTAAGGTCAGTATTGAACCTGTATATAGCTTTCATCAACAGCGCTACTCGTTGTCATCAATCTCAAGTACATATACAAAAAGGAAGTGAGCCGCGGATCCTCCATCAACGTTAACAATGAGCAAACGCACACGCAATGCCGACGGACATACTCGCAGCCTTTCATACTGTCATGATGGCCAAATAGCTCCTGTGATGCATTTGCCTGCTTGATTCCCTCTGGGCTAAACACTGTAGTATATTTATTCAAGCCTATCGCCGCAATGAGCCCGAGCACATTGGGACACCCAGAGTGTTTCGAATTCCAAAACGATGGTATAAGAGTATAAGACAAATCGTCAATGACAACAACCCAAACGGCAATGCAGGCCGCCTGTATTACAGATGCCACCCATGTAGTCGATTCATCTGCTTCGACGATCAGCGTGGCATCAGTCCTGCTAACCCACTATGCGACTATGGCCATAGCCTCATTGGAATCCCTGGACAGTTCTCCTTCTCTGGTTGTGTCTGCAAGTTTAACTTTTGAACGGGAAGATAGCAAACCGGGGGATTGCCCACTGAGAAATCCTGGAGTGAGGTAGGTAGAAGATGGCTATTCAGACAGGCAAGCACACTATGTAAAATAACACTCTCTTCTGTTTCAAGGGTATGACTGCTGTGTATGCTTTGTGTGGAGGGTTGTTGCAATCTACATATATTGTCATCATTCTTGGGTGGTAAGGTGAACCACGGATATTCTGTCAATCGACAACATCGAGACTCACGCAATATTGAGCTACACAAATCGTCATAATGACCTCTTGTCTATCTCACACAACCTTCAGGGCCGTCGATGAGGACTTTGATACAACAGCAAACAAGTGTCGAATACAATAAATCAAAAAAGGCAAGTTTACCCAGAAAGCCCTATGACCAGCTCACCAGGTTGTATCTAAGCCACAATAGCAGACCAAGCCTATCACGCCTACAGCGATGACCATCACCAGACTTAATCCCCCAACATGCCCCAACTGCCGCGGAGATGGTATAAGACTGAAAGTCAAGGAAGACAATCCGAATGGCAATGCAGGCCGCCCGTATTACAAATGCTATCCATGTGATCGATTCATCTGCTTTGCTGATCAACGTGGGATAAGTCCCGCCAACCCGCTCTGCAAATGCGGCGAGTACACTCGTAGGCAGATATCGGGCATCTCGAAGGATGTGCAGCATGGGATTCATTATGTTTGTGCTCGTGGGAGGTGTCACTTCTACGAGAAGGAGATGGATGGGGGTGGTGCCCAGCGACGGGTTCCAGATAGGTCGGTGGGGATATGTGCAAGTTACTCTTATATTTGAGGTTTGAGGCTTGGGTTTGATGGTGTTGTTGTGTTGTTGTGTTCATTTTTATAATCCGGTTTGTGTTAAGCTTTAGTAATAATATGCTGCTTCTTTTTATGTGTGTGTACAGTATATGTAATATTGAATATTTCACATTGAGTGTGTTGAGGTTTACTGGAACCTTGGCCTTCTGTAGGATTGTTGTCTGGTGTGAGTTTAGTCCTCCATTTTGGGACGATGATACGCCCAAAGTGTTGAGATTTATGTTGTATATTTCTAAGCGGCCTCATACTCTGCTCTCTTCCGAGGTAATCATCAAGCCGGCCCTTCCGCATGTATAGATTAATCTGGCAGATCAAATAATGGTCACAGGCAAGATCAGAATTTTTACCATTTAAAATTAGATGTTGAGTCCTTGGCCAGACCCTAAATACATCGTGGGTCAGGCACGCAGGTTCTAGACCCGAACGCAAGTTTCAGTTTGATATCCAAATTCGAACTCTCCTTGCCCACAGATTTGACAAACTAAACTGGTGTTCTCGTCGAGATATCCAACGAAATCCGAAAGATCCAGGTGAATTGAGTAGGCTTTTTTCTATTTCGATTGTGAAGCCCGGCAAGGGGGGATGCGTTTCTACATGATTCCTTTGGCAGGTGGAGAACCCAATTGGTCTAGTGGACGCCACTGGTCCCGGAATATCTCTGTGTGGTCCAGCCGGTCTCTCCGTCTGGACAGGTCTAGGCATGTTGACGAATTACTGTGTACGGAGTCCGCAGTACAGGCTGGTATTGCCTGTGCATACTGTTTTTGGAGGCTCTGGGCTATATCTCGTACTCGGATGTCGGACCTAAGCAGATCGTAAATTATGTCTCACTATTGGAAGATCGCTCTTCATTGAGCGTTGACTGTTTCCTTTGTGGGCTCTGTGCTCCGTAGCCGTGAGTGTCTTCAGCAGGGAATTGGGTCGATATTGAAGTAGCTATAATTATCCAATGTGGTGTGTGTACCTGCATAGGCAGTTGTATTGACCGTTTAAACGATTCTGATTCCCACATAGATCGGGAGGCTTATATTGAATGGTCTGGCAGATGCAATGACAATCGAATTTCTGGCTCAGAATGGGTTGCAAGGGACTAGATCTGCAAGGTACGGCCGATAGATCATGTATACACGTTCGCTATTCGAGGCGCACCTAGCCGCATACTGACCATTAACTTTATATCTCTCTATTCTGTAAAAGGTCTGTGAATGTCTCGAAGTTAGTTCTCGCATGACGGTACCGTGGGATTGAATAACCTCCGATATCTCTAGAGCTGTTATATGTGCAGAGTATAAGAATACTAGTAGGCAAGGCAATCCTAATAATACCACATAATATTATGCAGTCAAGTCACAAACCAACACTTCACATAGGCCTCGAAAAAAAAAAAAAAAAGGTCCAAGTTACAATATATATCCAAAAGTACAATGGACAACACACCCTAGATGCCATTTATAGACTGGCACATCATGGAGTTGTAGATCATAAGCCACAGTGCCCTATTTTTTACCAAATTTCGTTATACCGTTTTGAGTGGCTGAAGCACTTTTGTTACAGGAATACAATGTATACATAAAGAACAGGTCATAATTTGGTACGCTCCACTCGGGAGTGGCCGCTCATTACCCATGGAAATAATTTTGATGGAAAAGGGGCATAGAGATACTTAAAGATATACCTACGGAGTAGAGATATTAAGTGCACTCGAAGCATAAGGCTGAATGTTAAATCAATCCTTCAAGTTTCATGTTTCATGTATGTACGGAGAAGTCCGTAATCAGAACGTTCTTAGCGCTTATACGGGGTATGGAAATTGGCTCCGCCGGGGAAATTACATAGCCCGCTTCATGGTATTTTTCTTTTTCAGAACTCGGCCGTAATCTGTCAAATGGAGATCTGAATTTCCTCTCAAGCCTGAGACAGCCAAGGATGCACTTATCAGCCACAAAGGACCGTGGCGTAATCTGTACGGGTCATTTACACAGAGAACACAGCAGATCATATGGAAGCCGATCCTCTGAAACGGAATGAAGCGTTAGCCGAGGACGAACTGTACAATTTTTGAGGGGTAAAACAAGTCGTCATCAAGGGTCCTTCATGTGGCAAGGATGATCTTTCATAAGTGTAAAGTAATACATAACATATTGGATATTGAATATTGGACACACAATGAGAGTCTCATAATCACCGCTTAGTACCCAAAGTAGACTAGCGGCATGCCCAAAGGTTCCATTTAGCTGCCGTGTTTGACCAAAATAGGAAATGGATCAGCCACGGTCCCTTGGTTTACCTGGGCGGTACCTGATTACCTAATTATATTTCGACGTATCATTGGACTGTTTATTTGTATACCTGATACTGTACCATACACGGAGCAAACAACAATGAAACCACCCGTGAAAGACCTGCGCTGAAAGTACCCGGTACTCGACTGCACCAGGGCCTTCCCCCCATATTCCAAGTACCTCATACCTTCTCCGGGGAACACAGACCCCTTGACAGTCCCTTTCCCAAGGGATCCATTTATCCGTCACTTCTCTTTCCTCCTGATCTTCCCACCTCCCCTTTGTACACACATTCGTTACTTTCTTCGCTCGTTTACTCCCTTTTATCTGGGGGTTATCAACTGGACTGCTTCTTAATTCACGGTCGCTCTCTCTATCCCGACCTAAGGGGTGAAACCTCTACTCGACCACGTACTTCGGGTACCCGTCAACACAACGCGAAATCACCTTTCACTTTTTCCGACAAAACATCGACTTTCTCATTAGATACGCCCTGGGTATCTGAATAATTCCGAACCAACGTGGTGGACAGTCTGAGAACAAACGACGTCTACCGGCATACATTCAAACAGAAGTTCTTGAGGGTTACGCAGGCCGTTCCCAGTCCTTCGTCAACCACCCCTGCGACTGTGTCCAGCGGTGTTTACTTTACTCGCAGATTTCAATATTCGACTTCCCTACACTCTCCCAACACATCATGCTTTTCAACACTCAAGGCGCCCTCGCGGTGTCTAGTGTGCTAATGGCAGCCACAGCAGTTGCAAAAGACTTCAAGGTGCTTCCTCGCGGCCAACCAATAGGGACACTTCAGGGTTGCTACTCCAGCATTCCTGGATACGGAAAGGCAACAAGCTGGACGTTCCAGAGTTCCGGATGGTGTCTAAACTACTGTGCCAAGGACTACGCAGCATTTGCTTTGACAGCAGGTTCTGACTGTGTGTGCGGTAACACGCTACCACCCTCCAGTTCCAAGGTTTCAAGCGACAAATGCAACAAGCCATGCACTGGCTGGCCCGATGATATGTGTATGTCTATATCGTCGACCCATCGGTCTCGGAGAATTGACTTGCTAACAATAATCTCGAATAGGCGGTGGTACCAAGTACTACTCTATCTATACCACAAATTTGGAAGACGATGTCCCTACGTACGCCGACGAAACCAAGTCCACCACAACCACGAGCACTAGCGACAGCAAGACTACGACGCAAACCGACGAGGCTGCTGCCACCACCACTTCCACTACTTCAGATAGTGTAAGGACAGAGACCGCGACAGCGGAGGCCAGCCCGAGCACTGTCCCTGAAGAAGATATCGAAGAAAAGTCCTCTAAGAGCAAGAATACTGCCGCAATTGCAGCCGGAGTCGTTATCGGAGTGGTTGGATTCGCTGCTCTCTGCGGTGCTGTCTTCTTCTGGTGGCGATCCAAGAAGAACAAGGCCGGTGCTGCGGGTGGGGCCACTGGTGGCTATGGCCGTGACTCGGGTCCGCCATCGATGTCCGATTCTCGGTTCGATGGGGACTACATGGCTCAGCGCCGCCAAAGCAATGGCAGCATCGATGATGACCATGACTTCTCTCGTCGGATCTTGCAGGTAAGCATGCGCGACACCTAATAAAATTGTTCCCAAGCTGACTTCTGATACAGGTGACGAACCCCGATCGCTAAACCAATACCCATTTTTCGAACCATTCATGCTTCTCTCCTTCCTTCTCTCCACTCGGTATTAGCGAAACCCACGTCCTTTCTGCCTCGATCGAACTCCGTCGCGAGCGCTTCCCCATCCTGTTGTCATTATTTTTCACTCGGGTTTTTCAGCGGAGTTATGATATCCGAACAGCATATGGCTCGACCCAAGTCGGTGTCCCCCAGCTAGTGACCTGCTATCTCTTCGGCCCTGCCTCTGAGTTGCTTTTCGCCAACCCGCCCCGTGACTGCTTCTCGAATGGTGTTACGATGCTTCTCGACCAGCATCTCTTCGGATCTACATTGGGAAATCAACCGCACCATGGGCCTTCTCTGCCGAAGACCCGATCATTGCATCTTGTTCAATTATAGTGAAGTCTCCGTGGATATAGAAACGTTGTTCTCGAAAAGGCGTTTCTTTCTATTTCGGCTCTATCGATGCTCGCCATTTTCCTTTTTATGAGCAAACCATTCATTTTTATGTGATTCTCTTTTACTTTTTTCTCGTTCTGGTCTCTCCTCCAGTTTCCAGTCAGATCTTTGACGATCAGTCCCATAATGAGCTTCTCGCTTTCTGCAATTCGCTCCGATTTGGTCTAATTCGGGGATGGGTGACTGGAATAGGCGAGATCAACCAGCTGTACTTAATGTGAGAATGGATATGCACATCAGTCTGCGGTTATTTTCTTGTAGGCTAAAATAATGGTGGTTTCTGGCTCTGCTTTTGCATGTCCCGGACGAGCAGTTCGTCTCTATATCTTGGATATCTCTGACATCTCTGAATTATCTATCTATTCAATCACAAAATTTTATTGACGATCTTCTGTCTCGAATAGTTCATTTCCTATATATATACTGGTCCTAGCTGCTGAATCAATATACCCAGGTCAAGGTCAACTATATATCAACGTGACCTTCGGCCAACTCCCGGGGTCTATTGCAGTCAATACATGTGCGGCATCACTTCTACACCGAGCTTTTCATACGAACAATAGAGTTCATTGTCAGATATATTACGTCACAACCTTTAAATCGACTGGAATTCGGGGATTGGGGATTGCAGAAAAGAGTGACGCTAAAATGTCTATCCCTATATCCGCTCTATATATCTTGACCTCCATCACCACTAGGGCATGATGAGCATAGGTAAGCAATATTAAGAGCACATAGAAGAGCGATCTCACTTCAGATGAGGTAGCATACATCTTGCTGCTTCAGATAGCGCAACTATATCGTATGTATGTGCTGGGTCAGTTTCAATGCAACAAAAGTCATGCGATATTGTCCCAGTCCTAGCCAGTTTCACAATGCTGAGTTGATGAGATTAAGACTCCTGATCAATCCCAAGAGTCTTAGCTCTATAGTTACCCTCGATACCCACTGACCTAAAGAAGAATATATCGAAGAACTTACTACCATACAACAGGACTACGCCCACCCACATATGCCAACCATGCTACGCAGATACACACCATCAGATGCAGCAGCAGGCCTCAAGCCAGAAACCTAGACCGAGAATGAACCTCTTCCAAAAGAGGCCAAGAATATCACTCTCACCACTACAACAAAGCAACAACCTAACTCAACCCCCCGTCCCCCTTCATATGCATACCACATAGCCCAGCACAGTCTCGTACTGTTAGTCTCAGCAGGCGGTCTGATACCTGTAGCACAGCCTAATGACAGCATGGCTTCCACATGGTGGTGTAAGTTTAACACACAAGGTGAACCGTCTTGAGCGTATGCATCGGACCATGGGACAACCTTTCGTCGCATTGAGCAGCAGAAAAAGTCGTACTCATCATACTAGACAGAAGTATTGCCGAAATTACCGGTGTCGGAAACTGCTCCGGTGATGCCACAGACAAGTGGACTGCCTGTCGTCGGATTCAACCCGCTTCGTGGTGAGAAGGCATGCGTGCTGTTGGGCGGTGGGATTGGGATTGTTAGTTCTGAGTGTACTATCGAGGATAAGAGTACTAGTGTAGGGCTTGGCTGGTGGGGATCCAGGCTTCTTGAGACTTGGACTTGGTTGGGCACGGGTCGAATGGGTTGACTGGCGTCAAGGGGACACTTCATCATCGTGAGGTAGAAGGTATGCTGCCGATGGAGAGAAGTTGAATACTCGGGAGATGATGGATATGTCGAGGGAGTCACTGAATGTTGGAGTTTGTTGCTGGTTGAGATGGTTGATGTTGGATGACGAGCGTAAAGATTCGACCTAGGGTGACTGCACATAGCAAGGTGTTCTGCAAAGTCCACCGTAATAGAGAAGACTTCTTCAGGGGGAGAAATCTGCAGGAAGAAGAAGAAAAAGAAGAAGAAGCGTGAGCTGAGGAAAAGGAGCTTTGAGATAGGGCTCTTTTGCTGTTCATACAGCGTTGGGTCCTGTCCTGCAATTTGTGATATGGGTCGTTACAATTCTCCAAAAACCAGAGCGAAACGAAGTATCGAGCTACCCAAAAATTGAGCCCGAACTTCAGTTAGCAAATGTAGTTGAGAGATGGGCGAGAGACCCATTCAAAGGGTGTCCCTTGAACCCCCGAGGACGCCCACATCGCTCTTGGGTTAGGAATGATTGAGCGAGTATCAATCGATCCAGTTCAGTTCGGCCTTCATCTTTCAAACGCGGACAAGAGGAAGACCTCCAACTACCCTTCGCTGATGCCTAGCATGATATCCCCTCACTTTCCATGACATCAGGAAAGAGATACACACAGACCTCAAAAAAGCCACATTGGTCATGATTGCCAACTGGCTAGCCCCAACAGTAACCAACTAGTAGCTAGTCATAACCGCACAGCATCTCCTCCTGACATACCTCCCGAGATCGACGGTCCAAGTAGATCAAGGTAAGACCCAACAGCGGCTAGGCGGACTTGACCCGGACTTGATCCGGGCTCGACAGCCACATGGGTCCAAGTGAAGCAAATATAGCGACGATCTAGACCTGCAGGAAAGAGAAAAGAGATTGGAGGACGCTAGTCTAGTTGGTAGTCTGTTACAGCTGAAAATCAGGTTGATAAAATAACCCTTGGAACAAAGAATATGGAGTATCTCCCACTGGACACCCTCCGCTATATGAACAGACTAGTGTGGATATAACATGGAGACTAGTCGAACGGACTGTTAAGAGTCTTCCTGACTCGCAAAGTCAAAGATTGCCACTCTTCGCCAAATACTTCCCTGACTCCATACATGGTCCCATATTCCTTCTCATTAACCCATGTCAAATATAAAGTCTATATTGTATCCGTACATACGGCGTACATTGCCGACATACCCGGAAATGATATGGAACAGGCGCTGATCGATATAGCAATATAAATATACCCAAAAGGGTCTAGAGGGTAACGATAACCCACTAACCATTCCTATTTTCAGCCCCCCCAATCGGACAATTGTTACACGATCATCCTCAGACTATAGAAAATCGAGCCAATAGAGATTGCAGCAAAACCAACAGCGTCAAGCATGACCAGGCAGATGCACGCTGGCGCCCAGAACATCGGATGCGTGATGTCATGCGTGTGGTGATCCTCTATTAAACCCTTGGCCATGCAGAGTTGAGCGCATTAATATAAATATTCTGATTGGTTCCAAGTTGTTGTTGGTGTGCAGAATAGCAATTACTCCGCGAATGGGGAATCCTACCGTTGGCTACAATAGACGGTGTAATGTTCCTTAATTAGCTTTGTGAGGTAACCCTGTCATGCTAGTAGCTAGTCTACTTTAGCTGGATATAGCTACGACTGGATTGAGCTTAGCGGGTGTTCTCATTAGAGCAATCTACGGAGTAGGCGGACTAGTTTAGTGCAATGAAGTGCAAACTGAGGAGCTCACCGACAATGGACAACGACACCCGTTGAGTGATCTACAAAGGCCCACAGTTGGCCATGTGGTCTCGATGGTCGAAGCGAAGGGATCAGCTCCCTCGCACATCGGAAGATATGACTCTCCGTAACGGCAGGTCTCCGCAAAAGAAACTCTGTATAAGGAAATGAGAAGAGGAAAAAAGGGGTAATCGGAAGAATCAACGAACCATGATCCGAGTACGGAAGTACAATATACGTAGATCTAGTTTGCCCCATACTATACAATGTCTGGAGTAAATAAATACCTCCCTGTTTTTAAGAGTTCATTTACACCCCTTTGTGTAGGAGCTTCTTCTTCTGGCCTAGAGCTACATTTTATAGCAAGGTACTTAAGAAAGTATCAGGTTGACTAATTTAAAACCCCCTTTCATCATCCGCTCTAGCGAGTTTTATGACCTCACACAACTAGGATGTCAACGTTCCTGGTAATATTCTGCGTTCATTCTTCGCGTGCTCCATATAGGATATGCATCGTTTCGCCCTATAGGTCGAAGATGTCTCCCGAGCCGATCGGGGGAACCTTGGAATCTCGAGGTACTTTGTAAATGTCGACTAATAATATCGGTATTATGGTTATAAATAAGTATAAAGACAGCAAAGTCATCCCAGATCAGCACGAGCACCTTCCTAATTCTGACGACTTGCGGATTTGTCCATGGACCATGGACACGGTAACAGAGATGAAACATCAAGTTACTTATTCCTATTCAGGTTAAAAGTCATTGCTTCATCGGGAATACACTTACCTGAACATGGCTAGCAGCTCGTCTTGTATGCAGATCCTGCAGTAGTGCCTGCATGGTTACGTGCCCTAAGGTAGCTCTCATTTTCCTTTTTGTAATGTAGCCACATGGGCTACAAGGATGAAGATCCTTGGCGCAAGCCTGGTGCCCACTGTAAATCGAGGAAATGAAGAGGGTTTAAGATTAAAAGTCCCTGACTCGGCCGTCGGTAGTAGGCTTCGAGATGAACTCGGGTGTGTTTGGATTTATCCGTTGCTATAGAAATTAATTAGGAAATTAAAAAGAAAACGCCCAGAGCCAAGACGAATATAAGAGACTAGACCTATCTCAATCAGTTATATATTGTATATAATTTTCCGAATTTTGACTTTCATTGTATGGGGATTGTGATAGA